GAAAGAACATTTGTCATGAATGAGGCAAGCGCCCAGTCAACACTAACCTTTTTGACGTTCTGAAGTACGCGTGGACTTTGCCATGGGTAATTGACCAGCATGATTACTGTACTTCCGCTTCCATTCGGACCACTCCTCCGGTGAAACGTGAAACGACGCTCATAATTGGAGTATCATCTTCCAAATTGATATACTAAAAGAGTATAAGAAACAATCAATGTATATACAAAAATCTCATTAACGTAAGTATGTGAAAATCTAGTTCTTTCTGAAGTTAACAACTATTTTATTCTTTTAACAATATCAATAGATTTCAAACACAACCATCTACTTCAAACGTTCTATATATTTAATGATAAGATTTCAATTTGTAATTTTAAATCTTTTAAAAAATATAATTTGAGTTTACTACATACAAACAATATTTGTTATATTATTATATGATTTTTTGTCAGATTAATTTACTAATTAACATGACTTAGGTTGTATTTAAAATATGAAGGAGATACCCTGAAAACGAAAATGAGTGGATTCACCACAATGTACACAATAAGTCACAAATGAACCTAAAGTTAAAAGTCCATCAAGGGTGAATTTGATCATGATTGGAGTAGCAAATTCAGGCTCGGCAATAATTTTCAATTTCGCCTGGTATGTAAAGTGAATTTTCCAGAAAGTATGATCAGAAGTAGTTTCATGAAATAGAATCTGCTCTTTTTTTTTTTACTTAAATTAGGGGTAGACCAATGAGAGAAGTATGTTTGTGTTTAGTTCAGTGGAAGGCGTAGCAGAACTCGGTCAGTAAACGCGCGGAAAAGTTTTTCTCTTTACCCCCAAGACTCTGAAAATGGTTAAAAGTAGATCTAGGGTGTGCAAACTCTGCTTTGCCACCTTGAGAATGAATGCCAAAAAAAACCGGGAGTTTTAGCCCAAGCAAGATAGCAATTATGCGCGTGGATAACCTCCCCAAGTGTAACTTGTGGAATTCACATCTAGGGTTTCTTAGATCGTAACTGTTCATACATGAAATCAACTGCATCCTTACTGTTTATAAAAAGTGATTAACTTCATCTTTTAATTTATTTATAACCAGTTTGATATATTGTATATTGATTTATATTTGAATCATTTATTCTACTTTATTATTCTTCATTTTTTTTTTGCATGTGCTTATATTCAAAATATTTGAATTTTTTTTTTTTCAAAATATCATCAACTATTTTCAATTTAAGACGAAGAATATTGTAAATATGAAAAGTAGAGCACACTTGAAAAATTTATCATTTAAAAAATTTGCAGCAAATGAAGGTGTTTGAAAACCAACCAACTGTAAATATCAAAATCTTTTATGAGTATCTTGGATAATTAACATCTGCCAAGGGTGAGTCACCATTGAGGACATTTGAATCAATCTACTATCGAAAAGCTAAACATTAGTGTTAGTATCTTTTCTTTGTTTTTAAATAGCAATGAATTTTATATTTAAAAGAAAAGTTCTATATCTGATTGTTTTCGACTTTAGTTGTTACAATGGGAACAACCTCGAAAGTTTGCTAATCAAACTGTGTGGTTCACATAAGTCAATATTTATTGTTGATAGTAAGAAAACTTCCATACATAAAACAACATGGAAAGTTTACTAATCAAACTTTAGAAAAGTGTGATTCACTTAAGTCAACATTTGTTGTCGATAGTAAGAAAGATACCATATATATGTATAAAATAGTAAATGTGTCCACTTCTGCTGAATCGCAAGTCCTTTTAGAGTTGCTTTATTCTCCACTTGTGTATATACTTGTGTATACTTGACCTCTATGTATCTTATGCAATACACGTTCTACCATCAAAAAATACAAATGTATATGACATCTACTCACACGTCAAAACAAAAACTTTCTATCAGAATCCATCAACTTCATCCGTATGAGACCAAAAAGGTTGTCCCAATATGATTCTTCATTTAAAAATCATCATCTGTCACTAGGTATTTCCCTTGAATTACTTTATCTCAGATACAACTCTAAGAAGCATTCCATGTTGACGGAAGAGAACACCTGGGTTTACGCAGACTGTGCGTCGCAAGAAGGTTGAAGGACCCACTCCGATTGTAGCCAGCATAATTATAGTTCCTGAGGTTTTCATTCTTCTACACCTGTTTTAGCGACAAACTCAAGAGGAAGCAACCTTCTCGCATGTATCACCATATCGTATGTAAGAGAGAGAGACTTAGTACTGTCTTTGCACACCTATGATAACTTAAAGAGTAAATTTGCACATCAGATTCTCTACCTTCATATCCAGTAGATCGCTACTTTTGGAATCTACATTTTGTGGTTACAAACATATCATCATAAACGTTAGACCTCACTGGATTGTTTCCAAATATCAGACATTTGGAATGAATGATTGGTATATATACCTGATTTCAGTCGATAATGATATATTACCGGCTTGACTGGCATCAAAAGCCAACCTCGCAGTAAAGTTGAATACACTGAATTAATCGCGAAAACGATGGACCACGTCTACAGACATTACTGCACATGAATTTACATGATCTTCGTTGATGTGTGAATTTTCTGCATTGATTGCACACGCTTTTCACCTCGATCATATTAAAAAAAGTGTCTACATGCTTGAAAATAAACCTTTCAAACGATACAACTTGTACATTGCTTGCAAGGATATGAAGACCCATTCGCATGTGACTTGATGTGTGAGCTTAATATGACAATTTGTTGGATTCAGTGAAGTCAGTGATCTTGAAATGATGATCAGATCAGTTTTCTCTTAGAAAACGCTAGGTGCTCCAAGGGAGAGACTTGAGGAGGAAATTGGGAGTGAGACTTTGAAGGTTGGCTGGATGTGAAAAGTTTTCAACTTTGTCCCGAAACAATGCTACTCTACGACGTGATAAACGAGCAAGATAACTCTTAGCACGGACAAAGTTTGCTTAGTTTAGTGTTTGACGTCTAAAGACTCTGAAATTGAAACTTTGCATGTGCTCACGTGATCCACTGTTGAGCTACAAGAAGCTCAAAAAAACTATCATACCAGCAATAGAGAACCTCGAGTATTTATACAATCTGTACACAGTTTTTTCGACATTTTGTTGAGCAAACTACCCAGAAGCTGATCAGTTTGTTCTGAACCCACGATTTATGTAGAAGATTCTACCGAGCTTGAAAGCAAGAATAAAAGCTTACCATATTTTTCATTCAAGCTGAGTACCCATATGCCACTAAGTTATCAAGAAATATTCACTTGCTTGAATACACTCTACATTCGAGGAAATTGATTCCATGAATAAAGACTCTGAAATCTCCGTTGTCAGCGTGACGACATCGAGTTACAGTCACATTGATGCATTCATCCACACATCCTGTTCGCTTGCACAACAAAGTCAAGATTCACTCCCATCTTCTAAGACCATTTTCCAATCACACAGAATATGGAATAACGCGCTTGTTCTGTTGCATGTTGTCGTTACATGGACTGCTCACACAATTCAACAACAAGATCTGATTGAAGACGATGCCTGTTTTCCCACGCGTTACCACTGTAGCGTCTATCCTCACATGGATCTTGATGCAGCTAGATTCGCCTTCTCCCAGTCCAATTCTACATTCACTTTTTCACATCTCAGAGTACTTCAGATCTGAAATCTGCCTTTATATTGAGGTCCATGATGTTTTGCGTCCAGATCCCTCCATCTTTGATAGGATCTAGTCTTGTGGTGTTCACCTGCAGAGCTATCAGCTTGTCCACTTAGTTCGAGAGGTTCGAGAGGCGTTTGATGTGAACTGAACTGAGCGGACAAGCTTGAAGTTTCCGATCTGCTGACAGGGTCCCTACAGGGACTCTACAGGAAATGAAGCCATATATCAACTCTGAGACCGACGTTTCCTCTCTCTCTCTCCTGATCGAAACTAAGAGATGTTTCTACTGATAATCAGGCAGAAGCAGAACTTCTTTCCGCCATTGTCGCGTTCTTCTCCAAGCTTGGCATTACGTCCAGTGACGTTGGTGTTAAAATTTCAAATCGCAAGGTGAGTTGGTGCTGACATCATTTATATCATCACCATAGCCTGCAGTTATTCAATCCTACTATTTTTCAGAACTTCTGCTCGAAATCACAGGTTATTCTATATGCCTAGCACGTCGTGGACCTTTGATGGACCACAAGCTCTACGTTTCATGATAATCCCAAACATGTGCTGGCAGGTGCTACAAGAGGTCCTTGGACGCAGTGTGATCCCAGAAAGCTGTTTTGCGGCTGTATGTGTTATTGTCGACAAGGTGTGTGTTCGATCACTGATTTGAAGGCTAAAAATTTCGTTATCTGTCCATGAACACTGCTGGGACAAGCTTAGATGTTCACTCATGCTAATCCTGCCTGTATCTTTCTCTTGTTTAGACTGAGAAGATACCAAGAGCAGAGGTAGAGAAAGAGTTAACAGCGTTGGGTCTTCCTGTGGAAGCTGTGGATACAATTCTACGGGCTCTCACGTTACGTTCACTTGATGATCTTGAAGGTTCGTTAGTTTTTTCGCGATGCCCAATTTAAACTGATTCACGTTTTTTCAGTTTCAAGGAAATTCCTGTGTTCATAGTTTGATTCTCCATATTTCTGTTCTCATGTTGAAACTGTGCTGAATGACTTGAAACGATTGTCTCGTAAGCTGGAGGACCGTAACAGTACATTAGTCAGAGCACTGCTTTATTTCTGATGATAAGATTTTTACTGCTGGTGCAGAACTTTTAGGGTCAGACAACGAAGCAGTCGTAGAATTGAAGCAACTTTTTGAATTGGCTCGAGGATTTGGTTTTGAAGACTGGCTGCAGTTTGATGCTTCTGTGGTCCGAGGTCTCGCATATTACACAGGAACAGTCTTTGAGGTCAAAGCCGAATCCACTTGTCTTTACCTTTAGAGCAGGAGTTTGTGCCTTATGACTAGGATATGAGCTGCTCATTATCTATGTACTTACTCTCGACTCAAGTTATGGTACTCCAGGATGTGGTATTTACCATGACCAATTCTGTTCTAATTTTTCAGGCCTTTGACAGGACAGGGACTCTACGTGCAATTTGCGGAGGGGGCAGATATGACAAGCTTCTGTCTACATTTGGGGGAGTAGACACTCCTGCCTGTGGATTTGGCTTTGGGGACGCAGTTATTGTCAAGGTGAGAACATAGAACCCAGTTATTGTGGAGAGACGTGATGTTAATTCGCACATTCTCTACTAATTCTTTTGGAACTAGGATCCAGGTTCTCACTGTTCAATTTCATTCACATCGCTTGCAGTACACTCAATGCAGTTCGGACAGCACCTGCTTCAACTTTGCAAGATCTTCTTGCGTTCCTGGTAGTTGCTCATGATCCGTTTATGAGTAGAGTACTGTGGGTAGCTCTTCTTGCAATGCGCTAGTCTCATGCCCAGCACGCACATGCACTCGAGTTCAGATTTCTCTGAGTGAAGGCGGCTTGCGGATCGGGGAGGGGGACTCCTTTAGGCTCGGATTCAGTTTGCCTGCGCATGCCAAGGAGCAATAGGTTCTTTTTTTACGAAAGTGGAGGGCAGAATGGAAGGAGACGATGCGTCCATGCTCAGAATGGAAGGAGACGATGCGTCCATGCTCAGTCCCGCTGCTGAACTTGAGACACAGGGAATGAAAGTGGAGGGCAGAATGGAAGGAGACGATCAGCTTCCCTTACGAGTTCAAGACTTTCTACAGCTTTTGCCTTTCCACTTTCGTCGGGGATCTGTACTGTTGAATTTGTTGGATCTACGATCTGAAGTTAGTGACTTCTTCCCGAATGTTCGACACCGGATTGCGACGGATGGGCGGCGAGGCCAAGTGCGCCTTCGAGTGCTGGAGGCAATCGGCAGCTGCTTCAGCAGTTATGAAGGGCTGGACGTAGGAGATATTTGTGGCCGTAATATATCGAGGTTGACCGCTAGCGAATGGGAGGTAGTGTTGAGAGGTTTTAGGTCCAGCAGCGTTTTACGAGAGATGAAAATTAGCCAACTGAAATGGAGTTCCGAAGCGGATTTGGAGAGCTTGGGTTTACAGCTGGGGATAATTCTGAATACCTCTAGTGTAACGGATTTGACAATACAGTATTGCACATTGACCGAGAGATTTTTCTTGAATCTCGCATCAGGACCGCTAGAAAACTCCCACTCGAAACTCAAGTCTTTACAAGTAGGTGGCGTCTGGGGGGACGGAGTCAACGCGATGAAGTTTATCCTTGAGGTGTTGACCGGTCATCATCAATTAGAAACTTTGAGTTTATCCTCCATCCTAGGGGGACAAGGCGGGGTTGAGGCGGCCGTTCGGCTCTTGCCCCAGGGTTTGAAGCAGAACTCGTGTTTAAAAGAATTGGTTTTACAAAAAGTGGAGGGTGGATCTGCCGCGTTATTGCTGAACGCATTGGCCGGAGATGATGGCAACCGATCGATTGAGCGACTTCAGCTGGCTTATATGTCTGGAATCGGGAAATGTTTAGCAGAAGTTTTCATTTCCAATCGATCATTGAGGGTAGTGACGTTGGAAGACATCGACATGCCTGTGGAGGAATGTCGCTTGCTAGGCGAAGCAATACGTGACAATGACACAGCGACAACTGTCAAAGTAATATCAACGCTAACATTGGAACTAGAAGAGCTTTCTCGCGCTGCTAGCTCCCACAGGAAGGAACCCGTGCTCCATCTTGAACTCATATTTTGCCATTACAATCAAGTTACGTCAGGGCTCAACCTTTTAGGTAGTCTGCTGGGAGGAGAAATCAAGTCTGTAAAATATTTTCGTCTACTTGATATATATTCCAAGGATATTATGAAAGTTATTTTGTCGATGAATGGGAGCACTGGAGAATTTTCAGTCCTGAGTAAACTGCAATTAGATTCAGAAAGGGAAGATGTTTTTTCGGGAATATGGAATCAACTGTTGAGGGTGCGTGAGAACACAAGTGTCACTAGCTTGTCTTTAGATTTGGACGAGCAAAATGAGGAGTTCAAGGACAGAGGATTCGAGAAGGAGTTCAGGGACATCATGGCGTTACTGCGAGTGAATTTGACTCTCCGGGAAATAGATGTGTCCAACACCCCGTGGGCAAGCGACGGTAGGGCGGCGCTGATTGAAGCGGCCCTCAAGCAGAACCGGGAGCGGGCAGTGTACATGTCAGTATTCACTGAAGCGAAACTACCGTTGGGAGATGCAAAAGCTGGTCGACTCTTCTTATGCGGCTCTCCTAAAGCAGGTAACGTGCTCTTTACTTTGTACTTTTATTTTCTCAATGTGTTCAAACGTGCAATATAAGGTCTTGCTTTTGTATAATTGACGTTTTATTTCTTTATATATATATGTCTAAAATTAGAAGCAGAAATAGAAGAAAATAATTTCATACAATAGTCCAAATAATTTTGTTTCGATAGTTTCAAATGAGTAAATTGGAAAATAAGTATATTATCTTTAATCCAATTTACCTACACTACATTTTTATAAAACATCATATCAAATTATCTTTGAAAATATCATAAGTAACGCATGATTTTCATTCAATATACAGGCAAGACTCAATTGCGTCGAACACTGATGAAGATAATTCACGACCCGACTTGGATCAGTGAATTATTGACAAAATTGTCAAGGTCAAAAGGCATCGAAGTGGATTTTTTGCAGAACGATGACGAAATGCAAATCTCAATTTGGGATCTTGCAGGACATTGGATTTTTCGTACCCTTCAAGATGTACTGTTCCCTAAAACCAACGACTTTTGTGTTTTTCTTTTTGTCTATAGCCCTGTAGTTAAAAAAACGTCTTCTCTTCAAAAAACGTCTTCTCTTCACAAAAAGTATTCTGTTAAACCCCCCGATTGTTTCCAGACTGAGTTGGAAGTCTGGCTGACTTTCATCTCATCCAGCACAAAAGTCATGGGTCATAATCTTCCTCAAGTTCTTGTTGTAATTTCACACAAGGATATGATGGGATCCAACTCTTTAGATTGGGTTCACTCCATAGTGGAAAAGCTCAAAATAAGGTTCGCACACCGTGTGAACCTTATTCATGACTTTCTTTATGTGAATGCTCGGGAAAGGAATCAAGTGAAGCCTCTCAAAGATCGCATTTTTGAGATGTTCAAGAAGTTATTCAGTGAAAATTCCCCACGAGTTCCCCAGTTGTGTTTTCAACTCTCTTCCCAACTCCTTTCAAACATCAAGAAGGACAAAACTTGCCCTCTTTGGTCATTGAAAACGTTTAGTGAATTCTGTGATTCCAGCTTGAAACAACTCACTCTACCATCTTCTGTTGATCATTCAAGATTATTGACCTCCCTCATATCCTACTTAAATGATGTTGGATCCATCATTTATATTCCCAAGCTTGATTACATCATCGTCGATCCCAACTGGCTCACAAATTCAGTTTTGGGTGAGCTGATAGCTATAGGTCAAAACTTTCAAGCTCAAGAGTCCAAGGCATACAAGAAAACGATGCCATATAACTCATTTGCGAGGAAGGAAGGATTTATGAGTGAGGCAGACTTTTCTCTATTGATAGACACATTCCTGGAGAAGCATCCACGCCTTCAAGATGTTGACAGAAAGGTCCTTGAAAATATTATTTTCAATCTAGATTTGGGTTACAAGCTCGAAGATTCTTTTGAATATTTCATTCCCTCCTTCATCCCTGAGTATGCAAGCATGGAAGAACAGGAGCAGCAAGAAGAGGCGCGCGTGGTGTCGATGTCATGGAACTCTACGGCTGTGAATCCAAAGTTTGTCGGCATTCGGATTCAATGCGAAGATCAAAAAACAATGACACTGTCTGCTGCGTTTTTTCCACGCTTCCAGGTGAGGTTGAATCATGAATGCATGAAGCTTGAGATAATATTGAATTTGTAAAGTTATGATTGTAATTTGTGTAAGATGAAATCAATTTTTCTTTTTCATCAATTATGTCAAATCAGAAGAATGTCTCACTCAATCTGTTCCAAAATTTCCATCATTGTAGATGTTCATGAGACGCAAGTTGGAATCTGGGACTGTGACACTATCTCGACATTATCTGCAACTTTTACTCGATGGTCACCAAATTTATGTGGAACACTTTGAGAGTGAAAAGTGCCACAATTATGTAGACGTTCTGATATTATGCTCAGAGGAGGAGAATAAGTCAAAGGAGGAGGCTATCAGATATGTACTGAAGCATGTTGTCCAGGAGTTGATATCCTTTTGCGCATCATCCGAAGGTTGTCCCGGCGTGGCGTTAGTGCGAGGTGTGATCCAAACAGTTTGCGTGGAGAAGCTGCATCGGAGTCATCTCAGAGGAACCATTTTGATTGAGGAGCTCAAATCAAAGTTCTCTACTAGCATCAATGACAAACTTGAGGATGAGTCGCAACCGGTGAAGGAGGAAGAGTTGCTCCACTACGAGTATACTTGGCCTGAGATCCCAAAATTGCATTTAAAGCCAACATCTGAACGGGTTACGAATCTGTTGTGGAAGAGAGATGTGGATGAGGTTGTGAATGGGATCCTACAGAAGCGCAATCAACAGTTGAAGTCATTGCAGGATAGCCGCAACAGGTTGGACAATTATTTGGCTCAATCTCATACTGACAGCGAGAGCGCGGTTAGCAACTCGAGTTTACCTCACAGAAAAGACTGCAACCCAGCTTCAGCCAGCTGCTTGAGCAAGGCCAGCACAAGTGCGGACACCCAACTTCTTTTGTCCGAGATCCACAGTGTGCATGAGACAATAAAATCAATGAAAGGCATTGTGGAGGGACTGGATGTGAAGTTGGGACAGGTAATCTCATTGCAACAACAACTACAGTCAACGTTCTGTGACTTGATGTCTAAAGTTGACAGGATGATCGGGTATTCAGAATCGCATCAGCAGGCCAGAACGCCAAAGAGACCTTACATCACGGACGATGTAGGCATTTTCTACAAGATGAGTGCCTTTCTGCATGCCGGAACAATCGTTACCTTACACTTGATGTGTGAGAACGTTACTGGGTTCCACGCTGTCAAAGATCAAAAAGGTTTGAAGCTTCGCTTGAATAAGGAGAATAGCGGATGGATTCCAAGAATAATTGAGATTTCATACAAAGTACTCTATTATGTTGTAAAGGCTGGATTGTCTAGCACCCTCGGGTTAGGTGATGCTATTCCGCAATGGAATGATTTACTAACCGATATTGCTAAACTAGATGATATTAGTCAACCAGATGGTAGGGCAATTCGGAAAGGTGTGCGAAGCGAGGAGCTGAACGAAGCATGGTTGAGGATTCAGGAAACTCTTGCGCGTCGGCTAAAAGATGACTATTCCAAAATCTTCAAGTTGTATCCGGTGAAGTACGTGAGACAACAAAATGGTGGGCATGCATGGGTATGCGAGGAGTGCATGACAAAAGGACTTCGTTCAGGAAGTTTAACATGTTGAGATATTCAAGAGGTTAGAATATCATTATGCAATTGACAAGCATATGTTTAGACCCTCTTGCAATATAAACCTTTGCATGATCTTCCTTATAGTTTTCATTGGTACAGGCATTTTGTAAGTTAAGTAATCATGTCAATCCGCGCAGTTACTCAAGATCTAGATGGTTCCTGATTGTTACTCAACTTGTCTCGATCAATGAGCAGATCAGAGCCAAAAGGACTGTCTGTTGTGGGGACCCTGAGACCCACATCACTGTAACGTGGTATATCTTCACATTGTATGCTCTCCGTATGTTTATCTCACAATTTCAGCTGAGATTCTTGTGTGCTATCCTTCTGGAAACTCTTCCTCTCTTGCACAGAAACTAGACGAAAGATTCTAAAATCGTGGAATTGACGAAGCTCATATGTTCCAGAAAGACCCACATGGTGGTGCAGGTCAGTTAACCAACGACTTTCACTGCCGTGCTTTGACGAGAGTGAAAGGAAGCTGAGCAAGAATAAACCTGTCACTAAAATTGGAGAAGAGCGCCATGGCTGTTGAAGGAATCTGATATATGTGATAGAAGTATTCAATTTTTGCCACTTATGAAATGCCAGTAGTAAACGAGAACATGCACTGCACGAGAACATGTACCAACTTTATTGTCTCGACCATTGGTTTCGGCCTTTAACAATCTGAAGAATATTTGAACTTTCGTTCTCTGGAAATAGAACCGCACTGAGACTGGTAATTGTTAGCGAATCGTGAATGGAAATGTGAATCGTTTTCATTTTGGATCAAATTGCTCTTTTAATTTCACGATGCAAGTCTGGTTTTATCGGTCTGTGAGGATGTAAAATCTGGATTGTTGCTGGTAGATTAGATCAAGTTAGGACCGATGTATTTTCACGTGTACCTGTACCCCGGGTTTTAACATGATTTTCTGGATCAACGTATGGACATGATTGAGCTCACGATTCAGAATCTTGAACGTCGTGAGTTCTCAATGATGTGATGGATAATGCTCTAAAGACTTCTCCTAGAGCGGCCTGAAAACATAGTGACGTGTTGTGAATAGACAACGGAGGGATGTTTTTTATCCACAGCCAGCCCCCTTGGTCCATGCATCCTATCGTCAAGAAAACTTGACGAATTGTACGCTACTCGGGACTGAGTCTCTTTCAATGGTGTAATTGTTTCTCCCATCATCAGATCATTTCAGAACCCCAAGCGCAAGCCGATTCTGCCAAGACTTAGAATAAAACATTTCCATGGAAGTTGGATCACTAGTCCGCCCTCAAGACAAAAGTGGCATTCCGAACGCTCAATTTCTGGTGGACTGCTATGCATCTCTCCCGCTGGTAAACAAGTTAACATCTGCACTTGAACTGGAAACTTATTCCTTTGCGAAGTAAAGTGAAAATCTCCAAATGCCAGCTCTTGTGGTAAACTTCAATCGATGGTAATCCTTGCTTTTATTGCAGTCCTTAGAGAGCAGATGATGATAAGATTAGACTTTTATTGACATGCGATCAAGTGGAGAAGTTTCTCTAGAATTGAACTGCTGTGCAGCTAAACTGCCGGATTTTTCCCTCTTGTCTGTGACGAAGTTTCGTCAAGAACCATAGCCACTGTGAGCACTTGTGTACCGGTAATCAATCAAGATCTGAAGATACACATCCAGAACCGATATTGGCAAGCAAGGCGAGCATGGCCGTTCATCACGGTAGTACATCTGTGCTGACGACACAGAATCTGCAAAACTACTTAATCCGAAGGGAATGTCGCCATATAACTGAATCTGGCTCATACAACGTACACTATACTTTCCCAGCACAGGCAGATAGGGGCGCTAACTGTTTGACAGTGGAACGTGCAAGATTCATTTTTTTCTTTAAATCTGATTCCAACTCTTCTAAGCTTCCGAAAATCAGGTTTACCCATCTTGCACGTTTTAGCTCAAAACAGTGAGTCCTCATCTAGCAGTGGCTCAACTACAGAACAAAAATGAATGTCGGTGCAAGAGATTCAACTTCTCTGAAGTGGAAGGTTTTAAGAGACAAGCTTTCAGAAGTAGCTTCGTGAGTTCGTCATAATTGTTCGTGGCAGATATTAAATGTTTCCACACTCTACTGGCTGGCTCCGGACCAATACAGGCAGATGATGATTTTTGCAGTACCAGATGCTGTACATGTTCAGCTCTGAAGGATTTTCACGTTCTAGCCATACTACAACGTGAGTTAAAAACGCGGTCAGTATGGTGCGAATGCAGATTCAAGCAGTAACTTTATCTGACCAGCTACAATTTGAATGGCTGCTAGTAAACATGTTTCACCTGACGTGCACAAGGTTCACGTGCTTAAGCTCTCAGTTTATTATAAGTCAAATCACTTTAAGTTAGTGATTAGAACCATAAAGCATGTACTTCGTGCTCCGAATAGTATGGGATAGGACATGACAAGCAGTTGCAACATGTTCCAGCATGAGCAGCTACTAGGATCTGAACTTCCATGTGGCCAATTGGAGGCTTAAAATGGATCCAACGGGTCCGACAGATGCCAGATCCAAACAACTGTCCCTATGTCTCTGGGAATTTTACAGACTCTTTCCTAATTGCTCACGTCTGCTGGCCGATCTACCCAGACTACGGGAGTGTGCATTTACTCCAAACATGTACCAGTATTTAGACAGAGATTCGGTCGCGATGCATCAACTCTCCATTTCGCTTTGGACAACTTGATGCTCGGATTGCCAAATTTGAGCTAATTTTAGTGACTTGAGCTCAGATTTTCTCATGATGCCAAACATGGAAGCTACTTGTACTAATCCGAGCCTTACATGATCCAGTGAGAAATGCAGCTCAGCAGTTGAGTTTCAGTGTTAGCTCTCTCTCCTCCAGTAGATCTGAGCCGAGCTGAGGAACTGCATCGTCAAATGGAAGACGCGCGTTTTGAAAGCTGAAACTGAACTCAAAAACCATCCAGCGACCAGGAACGAAAACGATCGAAGATGCAATCCATGCGTTCGTCTACCAATCACGTCGTTTGAAGTGGTTGCTTAAAGAAGCAGTATATTGACAGCAACGTAGTTATGACCAGGTTCCGATTCAAGCTTGCGAGGTACCGGGTTAAAAATTATAAATTTCAGTACACGTATTATTTGTAATCATATATAGTAGCAATTGATTACAACGATAATCAACTGATATATTGATTATTATTGCATTCAATATAGCAATTGTATATCGTTTAGATTGCTGAAAATAAATAGCTAGAGTTCAAATATAGCTAAATAAATTAATTTTATATTGAATGAATGATTATTGCAGAAAACAGGGAAAAAAATTAACAAGTATCACCAGGTAACCCAAACTTTCAAAATCAGAAAATGTTCACACAATACTGTTAAATATGATTTTACACATCTAATTTAACACATGTTTTTTGAACCAACGAGCTTTCTTTATCAGCGTCATTTTATACAAGTTTACACAGGACTGTATAGTATGTTCTTCGAAAAATGTATATGAAATGCTGACTTTTTTCATGATTTTCAAGGTAAGGGATGTGTCACCTACATGCAGCGTACTATGCAAACGAAATTAGAGGGTGAAACAAGATATTGGAAGAAGTAAACAATTTAGTCTTCTTCGAGTATAGCAAAATTAGTAAAAGGACAATTTGATATAGAAATTGTGTGTTATATAAAAATATATAAATATCTCAATTATTTTTTTAAATTATTAAATTAATCCATCAGATTTCTCTGACCAATAAGATATCATTAAAAATAATATTACTACATACTTATTGAAAAATTATATCTATGAGATTGTTATTTTTAGATGAAAAGTTAGATTTTAACATATTTCTTTTTAATAAAATATTTGAAAAATCTTTACATATCAAATTCCAACTCTAATAATTGATCTTTAACTGTAAGATGATTCAAAAAAGAATAAAATCATGAGAATGCTTAATAAAGTGTCATTTTGATAAAAAGTTATGATGAGAAGCACTCATTTGTATATTTATTTGAAATTATGTCCATTGATAATCTGAAATTTTTAAAAACGGAGAATTTGAATCATTTGAGCAAAAGTTTGAATTTTATATGTATTAAAATTCTTTCAATTTCATTGCAATTCAAAGTGTGGTCATAAAATCGAATTTATAAGGGATTCTAATCTAAGTTTAACAAGGAAAATTATAACTAATCATTCAATGGAGGAGTATATCTACATTTGTATGCTTCTATCAAATTTATGTCTATAGTAAGCTCATCATTATCTGGCCTGCAGGAGATAGCACTTACTATTAGAAGAGTTTAGACAAGAGATTTGTAAGAACTTTCTAATATCTTCATTAGCCAAGTACAGATGTTGTAGGCAGAACAAGTCAAGGATCATGCGATCATCGCATAATTAACACAGAAGATACGTGTCATAAACGTTATCTCCTGTCCTCATGGATGCTGAGATCTCAAATATGGGTGATTGGCTTGTTTTCCTTTAGATTCTGAAACGGAATACCATCGGTTTTGGTTGAGACAGCGTGCAACTTTTGCACGAGATGTTACACGGAATGACTAGAATCTGCCTTTTCAAAAATTTTAAGCCAGAGAATTGATATTTTAGACTGAAGCACACCTTTCTGAAATATAGAAAGGCTCATTCTTTTGATAGTTGATGCGTAATTTGACCCTATCACTATTCAAGGTATAATACTAATATGATACATCTTGAGTACAGTTAAGCAAGATTCAGATTTAGACTGAGATTTCGAATCATCTTTTTATATGTACACACGAAGAGCTGAGCTTCCTTGGCTTTCGGCCTTTTCTTTGTTCTTACTCTCCAATAGTTCTCATATCCCATTTGTCAATTTTTCAGGTATCTAAAAGGGGCTAGTTTTATTTGGAAAGCGTTCGAAGAGTTTACGTCATTTATTTCATAATAAATTCACATGTTTACGGATGTTATCTTGAAACAAGAATTTGTAAAACCATAAACAATCAGAAATAGATGCAAATGCAAGGAACATGTCAAAACCCTTCCGCTTCCGCTTATCGGGGGTTGAATACAAAATCGTTCGTGTGAACGGAACCGGACGGACCGAAAACCATGGCCGTAGCAACCGGACACGTGGCGCAGCAGAAACGTCAGCCAGTGCGTGAAGGCAACCCTAGATGACTTGCGCTGCGCTGCTCTCGGCTTACAGCTTCTTGTATTTGCGCGATTGCCAAGTCAGCTCAGAACAATTTTGAGTTCCTCTTGATTCTGCTGCTGCTGCTGCCGATGGAACGAGAGCTGCTGCCGCTGCTCGCCTGATTCCCAAGAGCAAGACGCGGGCCCACGGGAGGCTCTGCCCCATTCAGAAATCCCAGCGTCTCGCCTCTGAGCTCAGGTGCTCGGCCGGGACTGCTGCTCTCGCTGGAATAGGAATCGAGGCGGTGCTCATCTGACACGAATGCGCGGGAAGTGAGTTGGCCTTTTTTTTTAATTTTTGGCCTTTTTTTCTTGGTTCGTTTCTCGTGATCAGCAGCTGATGCAGCCGAGACTGGCGCGAGTGCATGATCGGAGCTGAACGAGGGATCAATCTGTCACGCAATTCGGTGTGATCGGGCTTTTGCTCTGGAACTAGCACAGTCGGAGGAAGCAGCAAGTCGTTAGGGGTTCAGAGGCAGCGCGGAAAGAACTCTGAGACTCCTCTGTTTCTCTGCTGTGCCCTACCAGTTGCCATCTCAAAGCGCTCTGAATTCGGGCTGTGATTTCGTCTATGGAATCGCCCGCGAATTCTCCACCTGTTCTTGTTTCGGCAAGCAAATCAATTGAGTTACATGCGCGGAAACTTTTTGATGAAGAGGTTTTGGGGGATGGACTTGTGGAACGCTCTACAAATACAGAACTTGTGAACAAGCTTCCGGATGCAGAGTCATTGTGTGATGGATTTGTGGAGTGTGATACCGACACGGAACCTGTCAGGAAGCTTGTAGACGCAGAGGCAGCAAGGGATGGATTTGTAGAGTGTTCTACAAATGCAGAACTTGTCGACAAACTCCCAGATGCAGAGGCTCTGAGTGAAGGATTTGTGGACGGCACCACGGAAACAACTGTAAGTTTTGGATTCTCCTCGGGCGAGACCAAGCCACCTTTAGACGATGCGAGTACTGGGCTGTTAGAAGTGCCATGCAGCAGCGAAGGCATGATACCTGCACGTCCTGTAGATCCTCCGGACTTGAGCAATGCCTCCCCCACTCTAATTACTCTGCCCATGAGAGCGGTGCCTCTAGCTACAGAAATTGAAGATTATGCTGCAGTTTCGGGTCAGGGTTCCGAAACAACAGATGCGCCTCTTGATAGAACAAATGATGAACGGGAAAAAAACAGAAAGTTTCCTGTCCTACTGTCTGAAGGGGAGTCGCCAGTTTATGACAATTCTAGTGATGTGGTACCCAGGTTCAATTGCGAAGAAACTCTAGTCCGTCCAGATTTTAGTGAACCTAATGGGCTAGAGAGTGAGAAGGATAGTGGATCAGACAGCGAAGGAGATGATTTCCAGAGGGCTTCCAGCTCAAATGCTAAGCACGTCTTATCAGCTAAAGAAAAAATCAATCCTTTGACGGATGAACCATTGCAAGGAATTTTGGAATCTAAAATTGCGGAGCTGGAGAATGCTTGTACGGGAACGTTTAAATCAGAGGACGATGATTCAAAATCTGGTAGGCCAAGCTTCCATCCCTATATAAACTTTATCATGACCTCTCAAGTGTGATCGTCTTTGGTTATGCATTTTTTCTGCATCTTTGTCCTCCTATACAGTATGCTTGTCGTCATCAAGTCTTCGTGGAATTTATTAGAAGCTCAAGCAAAATTCAGGCCGTTTTTTCTCTTCGTGGTCTTCACTTACATGCATATTACACATTTTGCTGACTAGTAATTGTGGTGATATGCATCCCTAGTCCATTATAATCCAATTTCAATGGATCAGCATTGGTTTGATTTGCCAAGGAGGCACATACACATGAAGAGACAATTTATAAACTGTCAAAGACCAATCATTATCGTCCCTGTTTCAATAAATTCTACTTTGATCTCCGGTGCACATTTGTCGTTTCTTCGTATAATCTCTCACTTCTCCACTGCTCTCAGATATCCCAATTTCCTCTTCATTGTCATAATCCACCTAATGCCTCTCATTTTGTTTGGTTATCTTTATTAGTCCCTCTTTTCTTCTTGCATTTGCATAGTTTCATAGAAGTTGTGCCTTAGATCCTGCCTATCAAATTGCAACAATGTCTCTTCTTTTGTTCTATTTCTCTTCATAACAACCTCCGCTCAGTTTTCACGCTTTTTGGTTCTTGATTGTGCCCCGTAGGTATGCTGAGATTCTACTGTAAGTTTGGTTGTAGTGATTGACTTTCAGATAGATAGTTGATTCTCAGACTTGTTGAGTTTTCGCTTTATGGATCTCTGCGTACACATTATGTATATCAAAAGCTTGATACGATCAACGTTCATATAACTTGATCCAGTCAAAGTTCGAAAGCGACAATTGAAGGAGATGAGAGCTCTAGTTGAAGGAACAGATAGGAGCTCTGAAGAAAAACTACGGCATTTGAATGCAAAGTACGTTCAGCAGGTAAATGATCAATTTCCTTATAGTTTCAGTTTTGTTTCCCCTGCGTTCGATTGTTCACTAGTTGCAAATGAAAATTCTTGATCTCGTCACGAGAAGTATATCCTTCCTCTATTCTTCAGCGGAATTCGTATGTCAGGAAACTGGGCAAGGTAATGCTCATCATGTAAATAGGATGCAGAATTATTGTGTAGGTTCCCTTTTAAGAGATACATTCTCACTACAAGTGGTTTTCTTTAAATTTCGTCTCGTCCAATCTTGTCTTTTACTGCTCAATCTTTCATATTTGCTTCGTTCAGCCAGGGCAAGAGTACTGTTTTTTCAACCTCTTCCTCATTCCGCATTAATTCTTATGCCTTTCAGGTAGCAGAGACACGAAAGATGGAGAAGGAGTTTGTGACACTTAATCGGAAGTGCAAACAAGTGAATAAAGAAAAAGATACCCGTAAGTGGACACAGCTTTTGTGATGTTTGGCTTTAACTGCAAAGTTAACCTCTTCTTATCAACCGTTTGAAGTTCTATGAGGATCTCATAGAACTTCATATATACATAGTTCTTCCAATAAGCTTCCTGACCTAGGTCGAGGTTTAATTTTTGGAGGTTGTGAATTATGGATTATGGATTTGACAAAAAGCTGTGGCGTGGATTTGTGCTCGACAGTGTACGCGGAACTGACCAAGAGTACAGCTCTTCGACAAAAGCTGGAGTCACTCTGCCGAGAGCTGCAGCGCCAAAACAAGATGCTTCTGGTATGGAATGAACATAATGTCTTCTAATGACGATCATCTCTTCCCTTACAGATAGGATGTTTTCAATTGCATCGAGTTCACGAGTTTGCATATCTTCTATGTTATACGGTCTGCTAGACTTATGATTTTGGTGACAGGATGACAGCAAGAGGGTGGCATCGGAAGAGGAGCAGAAGAGGCAGGAGCTCTCCGGAAAATTCCATAGTACTGTCAAGGTTTTCCCTACGTCTCTCATCATCTTGATTCGTGCAACCAAATGATACATCTAGCATACTTAACTATCCCTCTGGATTACTATAGTTTCAGAATCTAAGCCATAATTACCAGGTGATATGTGCTAAGAAGTTTGTGATTATAGTGCTGGGCTGTACGTCCCCATCAAAAAATGGAACTAGTAAACAAAATTGTGTAGATCAACATAGCTGAATCCTGGAATATATGTAGAACATAAGAACTACTTTCAATCAAACGGTTGGATATTTTCTTCACACCTCCTTTACCTTGACGACTATAGGAATATTCATTGGGGTACCTTCAATTATGTAGATTGTCACTGCATCTTAGTGCACATTGAAAAATTGCTGTAAATGCAGTTTTAATCTCCTAGTGATTGTATCATTGGTTTAATTCTAAAGAAACTTTGCACATAAAGCATCCAATATAAAGGAGGTGAGAAGATGAAGTTATTTTTTCCCTTCAAAAATTCATCTTGTCCTTCTACGATATTGATCTTTGATTTTGAATGGAATTGTTCTTGTCAATAAAGTGTGATGGTGATTTCTAGACTCTGTAGAGAAAACTATAGTATTTTCGTCTAGGCGGAGTAAAAATTTTGTAAATATGTTCACTGAGGGCAAGGTATACGCGAATATGCAGGACATCACGTCGAAGCTTGAAGAGCAAGGAGATGAGCGCTTACGTCAACTGGAAGAAAACGAATTGTATGTTTTTTGTGTCGCAATTATAGGCTAAGACATTATATTATGCCTCTTCTAACTTTTTTTTCCGCTCGTCGAGTGTCATATTACACACTTATAAAGTTTTTTTACTGAATATTTCCACGGTTCCTATGTAGATTGCGCGAGAAGCTGAAGCACTTCACACAACAATATGATATAAGAGAACAACACTTTGCCCATCAGGTACTTGTGTCACAGAGGAAAGTCGACTTTTTGAATTTTGGAGATCACTGAAGATCGAATCATATAATGTGTTTTGAAATAATCAAAATGCGATCCTCAGAAGTTATTTGAACATCTTCTTCGAAAGTGCATGTTCTTCATGCTCTAACTTTAGTGTCATTCTTTTGTTTTTCTCATGGACTTTGTGCTCTTGAAGTCACTTATGCTAAGGTGGGTATGCAAATTGTTGATTTTACATTCAGCTACGAACGAAGTCTCTGGAATACCAGTTACTGGAAGTAAAGCTCAAGCAACAAGAAGATCTTTATTCTCAGTCGGAAAGTAAGAGCCGCATGTATTCAGAGCAGATAGCCCAGCTTTTGAAAACAGAGCAGGAGTTGCGTTCACAACTGGCATTATATGGAGACAAGTTCGAGCAATTCCAGGTATATTTCTGAGACGAACTAGATCTTATATATTTGTTTTAGGTTTAAGTATGACTTTTGGTAAGAAAACTTATGGTTGTCAATTGACTGCAAAATGTCAAGTTGAAGGCTGCGAATAACAAGCTTAGTTTTTATCACTAAGAAGGCTTCACCAATATTCACATATTACTGATTAGCGATAACATCAATGGACGCTTCACCATATATCGGAAACTTGATTTTCTCATATGTCGTACATCGTACGAAGCCAAAGTAAACATTATACAGTTAAAGATAAACCGTAGTAGGCTTATGTTCTTTCCATGCTCTAGCACTGTAGTATAACAAGTCGCAAGCATTGATATTGCACACTGCATGTATGCATTACTCTTTTGAACATATTCTTCTTGATCTGGTGATCAGAGTAACTTCCAAAGTACTTGTGTAACATCTGCTCGCTGAAATGACAGGAAACTTTGACAAAGAGTAATGAAGTCTTTGCAACCTTCAAATCAGAGATGGAAAAGGTAAGGTTTCATTAAATGCGTGTATTATTTCTTCTCAGATTGTTGAGGCTGGATTCTTTATTTTACCAACATACAATATCACTGCATGTGTCTGCATTCTCGCTTCTTCATTAAATGACAATCGGATGAGTTATGAGTCAAAAGGCCTTGCCGTGTCTGGTTGTTGAACATAGTTTACTTCGACTGAGTTCTGCTATGATTCACTTCCAGATGTCAAAAACTGTGAAGAGACTAGAGAAGGAGAATCTTTCTTTAAAGAAGAAGTGCGAAAAGTCAGATGTGTCACTTATCGAGCTTTTGGGAGAGGTTAGTAGCGTCTTTCAAGATTGTGATACGCCACTTCTTATTTGTTAGGGAGTGCCCGGTATATGTATCATGATTTACGTGCACTTCGGAGCCATACAAATGGTCGAAGAGTTACATGTTCGCTATCTGGGCTATTTATTGTGTCTTTTATTTTAGCAAATTAGCTATCATTACAGTGGTTGTGTAGGTTTAACCTACTTCCCGTGTGCGTGTGCAGAGAGACGTCCTGAAAAAGCAGCTACAAACTACGAAGACCCAGAAAGAGAAGCTGGAAGGTCTTTGTCGATCATTACAGTCAGAACGCAAGCAGCAGCTTGTCAGCGTCGAAACTTCCAACTCTTTCCTACCTTCCCAGCTGGTATGCGAATAAACGTAACAGACATAAACGCCGCAAAATATGTCGTCTCTGTTTTAGTCTTTGACTTTATGTTCATGACTTCGAAAGACCGGGAAGTTCAGTACTATGTACACGACCATGCCACACCTCATGTTACATTCATGAAAGAAAACATATGTTAAAGCCACAGATGTTAGCACTACGATAATCTTTGCAATGGACTCTGCAGGACAACTTGAAGCTCAGCAATCCAGAGTAGCACCAAACCATGCAGAGGTTCTTCTCAGATCAAAGTTTTTCCATTGTGCAGGTCTGTGATAATGATCTGCAGGATGAGTGCTTAGTTCATAGCTGCCGTGTTCCCAAAGATGGGGAAAAACAATATTGTAGCAAAGACGATAGTGCGTTGGGAACCGCAGCTTTCTTTCTTGCCTTCGTTTTCGTTAAGCAAGCGGGTTTATCAATTGTACCAAGCTTTGAAATGTCTTCCTTGCCTTCGTTTTCGTTAAGCAAGCGGGTGTATCAAGTGTACCAAGCTTTGAAATGTCTTGCGGCCCTTTGTCTTCCTTCATATACACTGCCTGACAGTGAAACCTTTTCGTGATAGATCTACAGCTACGTATCCTCTCAATCATTCCAAGCACAAGTACCTAAGCGGACGTCAGCCCTTGCTGGGTAGGGTGATATGGGTATTCCATGACGCATTTGGCTGAGACAGGAGCAGGAACGTTCATTCTCAGCCGTCCTTTGAGGATTAGCATCGTAAATGCACAAAGTAAAATGACAGTTGTAATTGTTATGTGATAAGGTTTGAAGAAAGTGATGAAATGATCACTCTTTGCAGCGACTAAGAAGATCTGAAGGCTATCTCTTTCCGAAAGGGTTGCAATGCCAAATGGGTGCAGCTGTTACCGACATAGATTTCTTGATATGAGGGGAGCATGCTTCAAAATGCTTCAAAAATCTGGAAATGAAACCTGTCGGACTCAGTTATCCTGTTTAGCCTCGCCAATTGCCTATTGTACCTTCTATAGAAGTCTTATCATGATCATGATCGCTTAATCGTCGGTAAGGACTCCACTTGCACCTCTTCTTCAGTAACTATGGCTTCACGGCCGGAATGATTCATGATCCAGAAAGTAAAGCTTCATTGTTCCTGATCTCTGTTCATACGTTTTAGTTGCTTGGCTTGAACTGTCTAATAGGTGAGAAGGAGTAAGACGACGGCTTTTTCGTATTGTGGTCTCTTGAAAGCAAGAGAAGCCTATAAATTAGTTGAACTTCTGTGGAATTGGAGGTACTGCCCTCTGTAGGTTAAGCTCGATCAACTACACCTCAGTCAAGAGTCCTATTGCATGTTCGTGTTGGCTAGCCAATTCTAATATAACTCGTCCCTAGTCTAGTGAGTACTGCCAAACGCAGCAGCACGTCTGTTTATGTATAGCACGCTGTGAAGACAGGGATTCCAATTCTCCATTTCAGGTACAAGTTTCCACAGATGAAATACATCTTTCATATGCTTTATCATATTTCGCGGAAGATAGATCGATTGCTTCGTTGAGGAAAATTTTGTTACTGAGGCTGATCTCATATTCTGCTAGTATAGATTTCAAGTACAGAGTATGTCGTTTCCAGAGATCAAACTGTAAAGAAAAGTGTACGCCAGGTCCAAAGATAAGGATGTTATTTATAATGTGGCACTCTCAATCAGACTCTCAAGGCAGTAATCACAGATCATTGTGCTTTCCATTCTTAGCGAGTCGAACGATAAGAACGAAGATATGCTTTTAATATTCACTCTTAGTATTTGGCGTATTTATGTGGAGAGGTGTTGGATCTGTAACTTGTTGCTAAGTAGGGTGTTACTCGTAAATAGGAAGTGGCATTTGGATATAGAGATATATGGCTAGTGATTACTGATTGACAGACTGGGTTAGAAGACTGAATGCTTTTGGCATCTGTCAATAACTTCAAACCTTAGTTTATGTATAGGAATTGACACTGTAAATTTCAAAATCGTACATACCAACAACTTCTGTGTGCAGAAGCTTTGAAAAAGTTTCGAAATGTGTAGTGTAGAGTGTCAGCAAGGCGAAAGGGCAAATAACATTCCTCACTTGTGAACTTGTTTTCTGCAAAGTAATTTTGTGACCTAAGGGACACATCTAAATCTATATCCTCTCGACAGAGTGAGAGGTACGGTAAAACAATACGGGATGAAACAACACCGAAAAGAGTACAAAGAGAAAGATCCTAAGTGGATTCAACTCATGGCCCAACGGAACACGGATGGAGTTTTTCTTACTGCTAATCGTTATGTTCAGAATTTACAAATGTGAAACTTATCAACAATCATGCTAGAAGTTTGAGGGCAACATCTTAGTAGCTTGCAAATACAACATAGAACACATGGTACGTTGGTCTTAATACAGAGATCCTATTTTCCTCGAAAACCGTGCATTTACATACTTACCGTTATAAGATTGAGAGTACTTGTAACAGTACTATACATAAAAAATTGCAGCATGATATGGATCTAAGAAGTTATCGAGAGAAAGTAGAGCACGTTGGGTAACAACTTTGTAAATGTCGTCCATGTGCACGCACCACCTTTACATGTCAGTATGGGTATGCAGACTTTGTTCTCCATGTAAATGCTCCTCCAAGTTTCTATTTATCAACATGTAGTTCCACACGTCAAATCGTGTGTATATCACATTACTATCATCTTAGTTGGTAGAATGAGCAGTATTATAAGAATCAAACTTGAGAAGGTAGAAACTTTTAATTAGTCAAATTGATTTTTGCTTTTGCACATGTAATCGGTACTCATGGTTGATGTAGGATAAGTTGACAGATCTCTATTAATACAAATTTGTGGATTTTGAAAAAAAAATTTGAGCATTAGATATTTTTACATGTAATTAAAATTGTAATCTCCATAAACAGTAATTTGATGACTTATGATATGTTTCCAAAATAATGAGTAAATTTATAACATAAAATTAAGAAATATATTAGTATATTTGATCCATACCTGCAACTATTTAACTTTTGGATGATAGAACCTAAAATATGAATCCTTCTTTTTGTGCCATAGCAAAATAGACTATAGTTGTAGATTATGTCATCAGAATTTTTTGTAGCTATCTTCTACCCTCTATATGCTAGATGAGCAACATGGATCACATCTAGTGTAAAGCATCACTTATCCATGTGAAGATTGAAGATATGATATTAGTGTTGAATATTATCCATACATGATATGTCTTTGAAGATGTGTGAAATTGTGCATAAATTACGGGCAAAACATAACTTACGAAGACGTAATCCGGTTCTGATTCTCAAAAAAGCTATAAACTCTTTTTAGGGATGAAAGGTTTAAAGAGTAGAAAGCAATTGTAGTGCTTAACACCTAAGCGAAGCAATGATGTAGGACTTCTGGAGCTATAATATACTCAAGATGCTTCAAGATCCAAGAATGTTCCATTTGGACAATAATATGAAGTTTTAGGCGATTGAGCCAGATTTCTAACTTGTGCTTCTGTATGTAAACCTCGTATAATAACTTGTGGCTAAAGCTTTTTTTTTAAACCTATATAGTCTAACCATTTATTTTCCATATATAACACTTATCACTAACAATATAACGTAGATGATATAATAATACTTATTCTTATGTTATGTCACATGTCAATTAAATGAAGATTAAGTGAAAAAAATACCAAAACCAGTTAATCTTGTTATGGAGGGCATTAGAATGCCTACCTGACAATATATAATACTACATATTAGTCTCCAAAAACATCAAAATAAATCTCATTCATTAACCATTTTTCACTTCAAGATATAAAGTGAATAAATAATAAAATGACAAAAAAATTCTGTCTGGTCTTTGACTATTAAATCTCCTTACTATCCCTATATTTCACTTGCATATCTCAAGTAAATGAACGATAATTACTTGAATATCTCAAGTAATTATCGTTGTGCATCTATTCCAAATGATCTTGCAAGATGAAGAATAGTAACAAAGAGATAACACATACTTTACATTGCTACTTCTCTACAATCTTTTACAATCATGTGTGCATTATTTCACATATATATCAAAATAATAAGATTGAAGAGATGTAATGAAAGTATTTTACGAGAATATCATACATTCTATAAACAATATTATTTTCTTGTTCATAATAAATTTATCAAAATATGTAATTTCTAAAATTCAATAATATATTATTAAATCAAAAAGTAAAATCCTAACAAGAATAGCAAAGAGCAAATGCTCTTAGACTTTCCAAATAAGTGAGATGTAAGATACTTTTCATCAGCAGTAATTACTCTTTTTTTGGTTGTTTTGAGAACGTCTAGAAATGATTTAAAATATTTTTGGTAATAAAGATGCATCCAGATTTCCACCACTCCTCATGTAGCATTGCTAGTCATATCGTCAAACACATACATACAAAGCTACGAAATATTTCATTAAAGGCCTCCTCAATCTGTGCATTGTAGACTTTGCTTTACGTCACGTCAAAGTGCCACCGGAAGTCGTAAGATACGGCACACAAGTCCCGCAAAGGTTTCCATGGTGGCACTACGATTCACACGTGGAGGCTACGGAGGCTACGCAGGGAAGTAGTGCCCCGGTAGGAGAAAGGCCAGACGCCCATAATGGAAGCACTCTGTAACGTGTAGCGTCCGAGGATGGTGCGTGGCTGGCGGGAAGGAGGGAAGGAGGGGAGACTTCATTGAATGGCAGTGCAGAATTCGAATTCTCAGCTCGGGAAGCACATTCCGGACAATTTGAAATTTGACCTAGGGGAATTAGTTGCCATCTTCGTGGCTTCGGTGTCAGCATCGTAGTTACTTAAGATAGATGCATTGCACTCCGTTCGAGTTTGGGTACGATTTGAACCTCCGCGTTCGGAAGGAGAGGGATGTCGACCTTGTGCTCTGAGGTCCGAGGTTTCTGTTTGTCACGAGTGATTTGGAGGTAATCAGATTCGTGGATCGAAGCACGTGGGTATGGAATCGGGGTCATGCATCTCCAATCCTCTCCTCCGTACGCACATTGGAAGCGGATCAAGGTGAAAATTCCTTTGCTCATCATCTACAGTGACGTCGTTGATGTGTGCCGGATACGTCGCGAATCGACAAATTGATCAGGATGAATTCTGGCTGCGAGGTGCCCGTTTTTGGAGTTGCTAAGATTCGCTTCCTACAGTAACTTGGGATTGTGAAATCCTCTTACCGAACAGTGACTTGCCCTTGTTTGACCTTTTAGATCCAATGGTACATTCTAAAATGTTGACTGTTTGTCGTGGAATGCTGGCAGAAAAATTGCATTCTAAGTGGAACAATCGCTTATGATGATAATGTCCAAAGATATTATTGAGCCTTTTTTAGGTCCTCGAACACTAATGCCGCTGGGATTCTCATAGTCTGCACTCGTTTTTTTCAAAACCCGATGTCCCGGCAACCATCTGGTGTAAACAGCATTTGTCTGACAGAGCTGAAGCTCAGTATCATTCAATTTTGTGAATCATTTTGTGAATTCAGCATTACTGAAGTATCTTGACCTTCTAGGTTTAGTTAAATCTCTTCTTTGATTGACCTCCCTTACTGTTATGATGTTTAATCACATGAATTACCATCGTACGGTATCTATCTTCCATCATGATCATCTGGTGACGAGAGCAATCTGTTTGTTTTTCTGTCATGAATGTCAGAGCTGGAGCAGTGAGCGAGACGACTTAGACGGTTATCGCAGGATGCTCGAAGGTCGAGAAGACTGGATTTGCGAAGGTGAATCACTTCAGTCCTTACGTGCGTGACTGAGACTTTAATAACGTGAAGGCAAGGGTGTCAAGGAGCCAGAGTGCAAATACAAGGGTTGTCACAACGGTGTCAAGCGCAAGCTCGGAATGAGACTATATGCATTTATTCCGCCTCCTTGGTCATCGCTTTCGGGGAAGGTCTGTAGTCGTGAAGCAGGTCGGAGAATGAAATTTTCAGGTGCTACAATCCACTTCGAAGTGGGGGTTGTTTCCTTGAATCTTCATCGATATGCAATATCGACTACATCGGATCACAGGATTTGACCAATAGGTCGTCTCACTGTCAACAGTTTTGTTGAGTTCTTTATGGTATGGATTGCTTAGGGGTAGAAGTGCAAATTCCGGATACCAAAAGAGCAAAGCGTGAAAAAAAGCTTTCTATATCCATGTCTAATAAAATACTGGATAGAAAGCAAACTGTTGATTTAGTGAAGAAGGTGGCAGCCGAAAATGGCGGCCGGGATTGTACTAAATCTGGCTTTCTGCTCGAAAGCCAGTTGCCCGAGAATGCTCTATCGCCACAGCCAGTTTCATCACCTCCTAAGAGAAGCCTACAGCTAAAGGCCCCATCTCCAATCAAGCAGCCTGCTGGTCAAAGACGGCGGAAACCCCAGGATAAGAAGGTTTTAATAGAGAATGGAAGTATCCATGGTGTTTCGGAACCTTCAAAACAAGCTGCGTGTGAAAGTAAGTAATTTTCTAAGTATTCATGAATATTTCCATCCTTACATGTTTATCACTAGTTTTCATAAAATTTAGGTTTTCCAATTCATCTATGGTATCCTTAGGGTCGAGGTTGTTACCGGTCTCTATCTAGGTTTGTTTATCACTTTTACATCATCATGCGACTAATTCCAAGTCCAATTTCTTCGATGGATATCATCCTGTAAAATGAACCTTTGTAGAGTATTTTAGACAGCTAAGGTCATGGGGCATCCTTTTGCAGATTTTTTTCTGCCAGCTTCAAAGAAACGTAAACTACAGAAAAGTATACCGGTTGAGGAGAATGACTTCGTGGTCACGAATCAAGGCATCAAACGCCGAATTGAGGAGGTTCCATCTGCTGGTTCTATAAGTGTGACAGATGTGGCAACAGAGATCTTTCCCAACAGGGACGAAGCTTGTGGGCTGTTCCAACAACCTCTTGAAGGAAAGAGAGTTTCTTCTAAATTACTCTGTACTTCAACCCAGATATCAGAAATTGGTTTACGTGCGAAAGCGGCATTGGATGCCAAGGTACACGGGTCCTCCATTTACCATTTTAACAATTATGATGGAACTGGTTGGATTGATGTGGAAAAACCAAGAGATTCCACTCTTGGGAATGAAAACCTTTCCTTGAAAGTAAAGTTCTGACAAGTTGCCAAGTTGTGTTACTAAGACGGTAAAGATGTATCTCACGCAGTTTCTCTCTCAATTGTACCCAAAGTGGCTCTTGTGACCGAATTAGTTTAATCACAAGATTGTCTTCATTGCATTCAGGAAAATGCTCTCCGAAGTGCTGGTAAACCTATACATCCAATATTTTTAAAGGCAAAGGCGTCAACCACTAAGGTTGCAATTTCATCCAGCGACGCGGGAGTTTTGGAACCTTGTCCCCCTATACACGTGACTCAATGGTTAGAGGTAAATAATTACATTTAATATATCAGGTTAACAGTTCTGTTGAGCTCTTTTTTCGGTCCATAACAGCTCATCTTGAAGTAGGATCTTTTTGATTCACTAGAGCCTTCAGTTTGCTAACACAAGTTCGGCTTGATATGTACAGGATGAGAGGACACAAACAAACTGGGAAGATTCAGCTTCCCCACCTACTTCGCCAATTCAGCGTTGTAAGGAGGAGGAACTGATTATTAGTCTTGTGCAAAGTGGATATAAACTCCAGGATCATCTTCTCATATCCAAACCAAGAAGTTTAAATCAAGATAATGCATCAAGGCTGCAGAAAGACTTGGGCACATCTACCTTACATACAACATCTGGTGTTAGTTATGTTAATACTTGCCCGATTTTATCTCGTGAACAAAGTCTTCAAGATCTTCAGGAGTACTTGCAACATGTACGCATTCCTCGCCTTTGATTTCAACGAGTGTATTTTGTATATAGCTTGCATGCCCTTGCATCAACTTTCTTTTCTTCTTTCTGTTTTTGTTGTAAAAAGTGATGTTGTTTATATTTTTTTTAATGTTGTGATAGCAGAGCTCCAAACCAGAAAGAAAGTTTGCCGGGGCCTGCGTCAAACCTTTTTCCTGTGATATTACTAGTAGTAACTCAGTGGACATATTAAAAGACAGGTATGTTCGTCCAGGTTGTGAACCTAGATGTTTGGAAAAGGTGGAGTTGACTTTGTTTGAAATCTGATGAAATGAAAAGTCCAAACCATTTGGACAAGACTAGTGGTCTTTTTTGTGTAACCAAGAAGACACGCACTAGTTGTGAATTCATATGTTTTGTCACTGTCAACATTCTCTTTTACTGCAACTTCAACAATCCTTGCAGCTAGGCTGATTCTTTTCTCTACCTGAAACAGGTTGTCTTGGTATGATGCTCGCCACAATTCCCTTCATTCTGACAAGGACAAAGGAGCCTTTGGTTCACAAAAGAACATGTTGTGGACTGACCTCTATCAACCTAAAGCATCGAAAGAGGTATGAAATCTGCCCAGGATTCACTCTGAAGAACTTTAACTTTTCTTCAGTCGTTCCATATACTCCAATAGGAAGGAAGTATGCCGCCGTTGTCAGAGCAGTGTAGACTGTTTTCACTTGTCGTTGTTTACACTGGGTTGGTCAAAACATATGTAATGAAAGACAGTAACGTGAGTAGCACTTTACAGTCTCTAACATGAAGTTTAAATGTGTCACTTAAATGTCATTCAAATACCTGAGAGGTTGGCTACCAAATCTAAATTGATGACTGCTTGTAATCAAAAGCACTTCCAATCTATGAGGGTTTGCAGTACGCAAATCAGTGATGCAGTGTCATTCAATATTCTCATTCAGCTAGTAATATTCTAGGCTCATATATGACTGTCATGTTTTGTTGTATTTTTGTCAGGTTTGTGGTAATTTCACTGGAGTTGAGTTGTTGAATACCTGGTTGCATAGCTGGAGAGAGAAGATGACGGGACAAGTTAACTGTCCCGACCTTTCTCAGAAAAAGGGTTCCACCAGAAATCATGATTTGGACGATGATAGAGGTTGGTTCGAAGATGAAAGTGAAACCGAGACTGATCCTGATGAGGAGAGCGGTCTCTGTAGCACTTTACTTGTCACTGGTCCAACTGGGGTAAGTATATGACTTTTTTTGTGGTGATTTCATTGCATATACTTTGGTTCAGCTCTCTATTTGATGAAGAATTGTTTCTAAGTGCGAATTTCTTTTTATGTATGCAGTGTGGAAAGTCTGCTGCTATATATGCTTGTGCCGCAGAGCAGGGTTTGACTGTCATTGAGGTGAGATCATTATTTTTGTTGCAAATTGTTCTACAATTGAAAGTAGGGAGGTCGCATTGCAAGCCGAGGCGATAGAAAGCATCTCTGAATATCTACATTAGAATTAAAGTAGATGAGCTCGCTGACCTGAATCTGAATAGGAATGGTTTGTGCTGTATAATGTTCTTCACGCAGTTGTTCAGATTTTCAAATGTACCTGAAATTATTATCTGTTTCTCATATTTTGCTAAGCCTTGTTTTATGAAGAATGTACTGATCGTGGAAAGTTGTTAGGAAGTTGTCTGATATGGTATGCTGTTCATAATTTTCTAGATCAAAACTGTTTGCAGGTCAATGGTTCTTGTTGTCGAAGTGGAGCGTCTATTCTGCAGAAGTTTGGAAGAGGAGGGTTGGAATCACAAGCAATGGGGAAATGGTAAGTTCACGTTTTTGAAAATCATGTGAAGACAATGATATGGATTATATAGCCGTCTTTGTTGATGATATTTTTTTCACTGTAATTGTACAGGTCTAGTGTTGAAGATCAAACCTCTCCTCTCAATGAAAGTAGTGGGAAGGAGGCTAATAATAGTCAAAAAATGTCAAACCACGTCGGAAAAGCTTCTCCACAAGGTCCACGCAAGGGCAAGAGAGAAGGCAAGACGCGTGGTAAGGCTGCCGGCAAGAACGTTAGACATCCTGTTGGCACGTCTTCAATCGGTAGGAAGTTATTTGAAAACTGTATCCCGAATGGGATGGAAGAGAATTTAGGAATGGGTATTGAGGAACCGGAGACTGGTAGCGCGCAGAAGAAGAAAATGACGGTCATTCTCTTCGAAGATGTCGATGTGCAATTTGAGGAGGACAGAGGTTTCTTGACTGCGTTGGTCCAGCTTGCCAAAAAGACGAAGCGACCTATGATTTTCACCAGTACTTGTAAGTCATTTCTCATAGTGCTTTGCTTTGCTATGCAATTTCATACTGACTAGTTACCAGCTGTGATGAGAAATGAATGCGTATTGCCAGGTACAGCCAGCTTTTAGTGACATTCATTGTACAAATGTTTCTGTGATCCAGCACGTCAGCCTGGTTTGCCTCAAATCTTGGAGAAAACCAGAATCGACTTCTTTTATCCAGCTCCAGAGGAGTTGACGGTTCATGCTTCCATGGTATAGTCCTGATGCTTTCTTCGTGGTTCGTCATACTTTCTTCCTGCACACTTTTTACTAGTCGTGATCATTTCTGACGTGCAAATTATTTGCAGGTGTGTATTGCAGAGGGTGTTGCGTGCTCTCCTTGGATGGTCGATCGATTAGTCGGATCCTGTCATAATGACATACGGAAGGTCATGATGGCACTCCAGTTTTGGAAACAAGACGATTGTCCTTCACCCAAATCATCTTTGCAAAGGAATATGAGGGCCTCAGAAAGTTCTTTCGACAATTTTGAAGACCCTAGAGTCAGATCTGTGGGTGAAGGCCGGGAGGGAACAAGGAGAAATCTCAGTCTTTCTCGTCCCTTCTCTTCCGGAATTTTAAACTTGAATGAAAAAGTCGCCCCTGTTCTCTCTGAAACCAATGCGTTCAGACAGTGGGATGCAGATGCTAGGTACCTGTTCGAACTTGATATTCACCACATCGTACTTCCAGAATTGTTCACCAGCAATTTTCCATGTCTGTTATCTCTGGAGGTTGCCGGAAAGATCAACTCAGCAGTCAGCGAACTTGAGAAGCTGGAAACCATGGCTGCGGTAAAGGATGCAAAAGAACAGGGTTTGGTTATACAGGCTAAGCTCGATGCTGCTGAGGCTGAACGAAAGGCTTTGAGGAGAGCCAAGGATGCTCTGCGAAGAGCGTCTCGAATGAAGGCAGAAGTGGTGGACGGCGAGGGTCCTGTATTGGCGAAGGCTGAATCTGATGAGAACAAGTTCAGACTTTCTGAAAGCCCTGTCAAGAATATAAGAGAGGCTCGAGCTCTGGCCCGAACATGTTCACCTTTGAAATTGAAGCCAAAACGCGCACTTCTCCTGTACAATTCGGACGACGATGAGGAGGGACCAGAAGCACAGGTTCAAGACGATAGTTGTCTTTCTTGTATATCAAATCTTTTCAGTGGTGGAACACCCGTGACCGAATTGCATGGTAACCAGGCAGCCCCTGCGAACGTGGGGATCAGTGATGACTTGGAAGACAAAGACGTCGTGCTCGATCCTAGTTTTGAATCTGTTTCTCCAGTGATAAGAAAGAGGATTTTGCAAGACCTTGAAGACGGTGTATCACGTTCGACAATGTTAAGGACGGAAATCAACCTCAATATTGAGATTGATAGTGAGGAGGTGAACGTGGTGACGGGTTCTTGCCCCGACGAGGTTGAACGTTTGTCTCCTCTTTGTCAAATCTCATCAACAGCCACAATTTCTGAGACTGCCAGTCGTGAGAATATTGGTTTAGACAGGCGCCATTCAGTTACAGGGTCTACCCGGAGAGATGTGGATCTGGTTTTGGATGTAGACCATGTAGGTAATCCAATTGTGGGCGTACTGACTAAGATTGTGGACGCGAGCCAGCCAGAAGTTTTAGTCGAAAAGACAAAGCCAACGGCAGAAAACATTGTCTTCGATGTTGACTTGAACCTAGTACCTTGTGTTGTAGACAATGAGGTTGTAGAGTATGAAGCTGTTAATAATGATGTGAATATAAATTATTCTGATGGCGGACAGAAACGGCATGCCGGAAATGCCGTCACAGGCAGTGATGTCGATCCCAAGGCAATTGGAGCCTATAGAGAAGATCGCAGTAGAAGTTGTGATGTAGAAAATGTCATGCCCGTGGCTAAGTCAAGAGGATTTGATGTAGAAAGGTCGGTTTCACCCTTTATTGAATCTGGAATTAAGCTTTCGGATCAGTTAGAAGCAGGTGAAGAGGTGAGATGTAGGTATATAAACCCTGTCGAAGAAGCTTGGAGAACCATGCGGGATGACCGACAAGCTCTCCGTGATCGGTTGGGCCCTATCCAACCGAATATTAATATTACTGATGCCCTTGCCACAGTATTGGATGTCATTTCAGCCTCTCAAACGATCTCAATTGTTTCGTCAGAATCATGGAAAGTAAGTGGGAAATCATACTAATATCAACTCTGATCTGTCGTATGTTTTAAATTGTAATGCGGATGACATTGGTTTAATTTCCTTCTTTTGCAGTTCAACAATTCAGTAGATGATTCTTTTGTCCAAATTACTGACCACTTCATGATATTTGATTGCAGAACGCTAGGACCAACTTCAAAGACACATTGAATGGGTTGGTGGAAGGCAACATTGGACACTGCTGTTTATGGGAATGTGGTCAAGAAATTGCCTCCCAGTTTGTAAGGGCAGGTCTGCAAAAACTCTCCACTTCTCTATTGGTTTCTCCGCCTCGTGAAGCTAGAATTCCCGTGGTCTTAGGGATATTATCAGCTGCTAAAGACGTCCCCGCCGTTGGCAAATGCATGGTAACCTGTAACGACATGAAAAGCATGTACAACTCTGCGAATCTGTTGAAGGTTATCGACAGTACTTACTCGAAGGAGGAGACTGCAAGGTTTGTTACACTGCTAAATTAAATATATTGTTTATTGTATTATTCTTCTCAGTACTTTTGGAAACAATGTGCGATAATTCCGGATATCAACTTCAGTTCACTGAGTGGTTGAGGTTAGTGCTATTTATTCGAGTCTGCTTATTACCAAATGGCCTGGTTAGCTTGTAAGGAGCTTGGCCCGAACGATTTAACTGATTCACATATATATGTTATATCTGTCAGGCATTTGAAAAGGCAGGAGAGGTTAGAAGAAATTATTACGACGCGCTTGCTTCCACGGGGAAGAATGACAGGAAGCAGCCGTTTAGAATACTCTGCTTACCTGGCTAGGATGAGCCAGTCTGAAGAGCAGCGTCGGACTCAAACCTTCAGTGAAAGCAGAAGGTAGCCTTTTTTAAAACTTTGGTTATTATTGAGTGTATCTTGTGAATGATGACTCACCTTCTACGTACTATATTTCCCAACCTTTTCATACGGATGTATATATGTTCATTCTCGTAAATGTGGGCTTAGATTTTACGTCCATCTTATAATGTATCAATAAGATTTACCAATTTATCCTCTTTCATTCTTGTGTGCGCATCTAATTTTCAATCCCGTCTGGTGTTTATCATGCAGATCACGAAGATTTCAACATCACCTTAATCCGAGGATGTCAGACGCGGATATTGCCGAAATCTCCTTACTATGTAAATTTGGAAAGGCCTGATTATCCTACGTTTGATTGGGGATTGATTCAGTGGAATTCACAAATTCCCTTACAGAATGTTAAAAATATACAGAAAAATTGAGATACACTTCAACTGTAGAAATATTGATTGGCCAGCCTGACACGGATAACTGGATCTCGTCATGAATGTGGACTTGTTGGTGACAGTTCTGTCAGCAACGGGGGAAATTAACCCCTCCAGCACCATTACAATTTTTCAGTAAAAGTCAGAATTTGCAATGCAAGTTTTCGTGGCCTGTTCGTTAGTGAATGTAAAGTAAATCGTACACCAAGAGCAGAGACCACAGTTTAAACAGTAAAGCACTCAAGAAGATATCACCAAAGACATGAATGTGCAAGTCAGAACGGGAGGCTGCAGATACATGTACAGAGAAGTCAATCGATGCGGCAGTACATGGTCAAGGGCCCCACTAAGTACCTGGGTGTTGAAGGAAAACTAGACTGCAGATCTAGAAGCAGCTGTGGCAGCAACAATGCAGTTGCCAAATGAATCTCTACAGAAGAGCTTCTCAAGGAATCTCACCACTGGAACTTTCCAGCTTTCGTCTCAAGAACTCCACAGTTGGCAACTGTCCGCTTGATCAAGTTAATGAGACTAGTTTGTTCCTTGAAAGCAAACGATATTCCACAGTACCCACATTGCAACTCGAGACTGCGATGACTGTACAGGTTTGGAAAGGGAGCTCCATCGAACCCCACAAGAGAGCAGAACTGTGGAAAGAGATTTCTGCCAGGACCAGCAGACTCAAACTCAGCAACGACCAACATATAGCAACATGCCTGCTGTGAGTCCATCCCAGGGAGGTGCAAACACAGTGACACCGATCGTCAGCCGCAGAAACAGACCACAAGTATGAAGTCAGATTCGGGGCCGTGACAGTGTAGAGCATCATCACAAGGGCGCTCTCGATAGCATCCCCTTTCCCGATGTGGCCCCCACAAACACTCCCACTCTATTGAAAACTTGAGCATTTGTAGACAACGGTTACAATAAGAGAATAAAATGGTTGCAAATATGGTGATTATATCTTTTAGATATGACAGATTTCCAATGTTTTCAGTTTTAGGCCGGTAGATATTTCATATAATTTTATTATATCTTCATTCTAAGATCAATAGAGTTGGAGTGGTTATCTCATCGATCTGAATATATTAGATATTTAAGTTCAGATGACATTAGATACATTTTCATTTTAATACTGAAAGAGTTTACTTTTTGGTTATCTCAATTATCTGAATTATTTAAATAAGTATTTGAGGTTATATAATATGTATTTACAGTATTGATACTATATGTTTGAACCCCTGTCTACCTTTTGGGAATCCACTTGCCCTCGTTTCACGAGAAGAGAATATAATCGGCGCCTAATGTTTGGTTCTGGGAAGCCACAATGGGAAGCATACAGAAGGCTCTTGAACAGGCGGAGATTGAGAAGTGGAGTGGATCCCAAGCACTATGATTCTGTTCCCAATCTGAACAGCTTGATGGTCCGCCGGATGAGGAGGAGCAGACCCGAGCTCAGACTGAGCGGCCTTGACCTGCAGTGGTCATGCTGACAGGCATGGCGGTATATGGCCTCCGATGGTATTACATGCCTCGTACTTCACTAACCTTTCGGTAATAGCTGACGCAAGGTACGGCCCAAAGCCTCTCCCAAACCTCCAATTCGATACGGTTAGAAAGCGATCGATCCTGTGCAGCGCTGCGCTGTGCTGTGCAGTGCGCTGGACATGCATTCCCTTGCGGAAAGGGCTGTGTCCTGACTCCTGAGGCCCTGTGCCATCCCTGCTCACTCCAACCCGAATCTCGTTCGCAGATACTCGAGCTCGAGCGCTTTTGCTGTTTGTTTGCACGAGGCAATTCGGGATTTGCCTCGTTTGCACTAGTTACCTCGCTCTGAGAATGGAGGCAGTGATCGCCATGACCACCTCTTCCCCCCACCACCATTTTCGAGGAAGGGACCCTGAATCTCACCATCGTGGAGTGAGTGACTGCGTGCAATGTTTCACACACCAACCTTGTCATCCTCGCCTGATTTTTGTTTGTTTGAGATTCATGGATTAACTGTATAATTTATCACACTAACGACTGAACTATATCATCGACATATCGTTGTGATGTGTCAAGTTGTTCTGTTAAAAGGTGTATGGCATGTCCATTCAGTTGACGGCAATCTGACCATGTAAATGACCAAATATGTCAAGGATCAAAGCAATGAAATCATTGGAGAAGGAGAGAGACACTTTCAGATTGTGTCAATTCACTCATTAAATTTGGAACATATATGATCTACGATCTTCAAGTAAAGGGTTAAGGGAATAAATAGGAGATGGCATCTTCCTCTCCCATATAAACAATGAAAATTATGAATTCTTGTGTCTGAAAAGACCGACCAGTAATCACATTCAGGTTAAATGGAGGAAAACAATTACCTATCTCATGAATTATAATCTTCTGAGACTTATTTGAGTCGGTTTAATCAAAGCACCAACATGATCGACTCTACCTCCATCTCTTACATTGGACTCCTCTTGTATCACTAAAGTTTGAACGATGATGTATGGAACTTTCTTGTTTCTTTAAGTGGTATGTACTTAAACAAGAATATATCATTTCATCCTAGCCACTATTAAAGACACAATTCTTAACATACTTCTTCAAAATTACTGCAAGATGAAAAGCTACTTTGGCATTATATGATGACAATTCATGCATAAAAAATGTAAAAAAATAAAAATATATGCATCACAAAAATAAAAATATCATCCTGATTGAAAATTGTATAAAATATACAATTTCAAATCAGAAAAGTATGTAAAGAGTGACTAAAACTTACAAGCGTAATGTTAGCATTATTGCAAGTTGGTGAAATAAAGTGTATTTTTGACCTCTTTTGAGTTATAGATTATCTTCATCTATCATTCATATAAGAAAAAAATTCACAATCTTTAGTGGTAGAATGTATTGATTGTGTTGTAAAACTCACGAGTCGGAGAGAATTACAGTAGTCCCCTGTTTAAGAACGCAACTTGAACCTTGGAGGTTTGTGCTTACTTTGCTTTAGACTCTCCATTTCCAAATCTCTTGCGTTTTGCTAGAATGTCAAAGAATGTGACCAGCAAGCGCCTGAAGAGTCCCAACGCTGCGAGATCATCTCAAAAGTAAGCAAGACAAACCCCCCAATGTCAAACAAATTTACCAGCAAGCGTCTGAATGAGTTCCAGCGCTGCGAGATCAAACCTGAGTAACATGAACCCTCCAAGCAAACGCGCTCTACCACGTGAGTACGACGTAGTGGGTTAGTTTATACATCTTCGCATAAATAGGATAGAGTAGATTTTCATGGACTAGAGTATTTGAATAAGCAGATTCTTGATATTGAGTATAACTACTCTGCTCTGACGTTCAAACATAATTTGAAGAAGAATTCGAAAATTTCAAAAAATCGTTTGAAAAGTTCTAGCCAAAGTTCGAGCATTCCTGCTCAAAATTTGAACTAGATGACGAGGATTCATGATATGTTTCACTGAAAACGTTGATCTCTAGTACTTGTGTATTTAAACGGATGCTTACTTAAGTGGGAGACTACTGCAGAGACTTAAAGTTGAAACAGAAGAATTTTACACCTAGCACATATCACCATCACAAAATTGATAAAATAATAATGTTGACATTTAATTGTTAGCACATGTCTTCTTTTCTTTCTAGAGTTTTGACTTCCGGAATCTGATTACCAAGATATCCATTATTTAAACAAGTCAAATTCGTTGCTGCAACACCTACAAGTTGTCTTGGCCCTCAGTTCCTTTACAGCATACTCGGTTGTACTTGGTTGTTTGTTTGACCTTTATGTGTGATGTAAACACATGTCTTTCTTTTACCCCAAAGCCTTTGTAACACGAATATTATTCCTTTAGTACTAATAGAAGATTTGCCCATGCTGGGCTAAATATAAGGTATGAAATATAAGAATGCCGTCAAGATCTAATACACCTTGAGTGCAAAATTAGCTTAGAGCAAAATCTATATTTCTTTTGTAAGTACATAGCCTACTGCATTGTAGAGTACGGCCGTAAGATAAATCTAACCTAGTAAAGTATCAAACAATTTTAATTGGTCAAGTCAAGTAAGTAAATAAAATATCAACGATAATGAAATGATTTATCTATATAAATTCTTTATATTTCATGAGCTCACTATGAAGCTTCAAATCACCTTCAAATCAATTTATGGTTTAGGGTTTAGGGTAAACCCTAAACTCTACCCTCTATCATGAAGAAAAAAATAGAAGTAAATAAGTTTCGAAAATTCAGACCTCGAGTCTATCTGAACACTAAATATTCCAGTACATAGAAAGGACCACCGCGTGCAGAAGAGAAATGCATGAGGTGAAAAAGGCCACAAACGCCAAATGGAAGGTGAGGGGGAGGCGAGGGGAGGGAGGAGTGAGGGCGAAGCGAAGGGAAGGGTGAAGGGGTGGGCTGGAAGTGGGTGCAAAAGTTGGGCGCGGCTGCGACACGTTCGACCGACCAAAAAGAAGGTCCGAGATTCGCAACGCCCATCCTTCCTCCCGCATTCGGACACTGCCCCCTTTCGGTCTCTGCTGCAAGCGCCATCGCCATCGCCATCGAGGGAGCGTCCAAATCGACATGCCCACGGTCTGACTCACTCGATGAGTGAATGATTTTGACTGACTGCTCGACGGTCCTCGAGGTCCAGCGCTGCGAGATTCCGCCACTGTTGGGTGCCTGTCCTTCAATTCCTTGGGAGTCCGATGAAGCGTCCACTTCGATCGGCAATTGGACGGAGCCTCGACGTTTGGGTGCAGCAGGCGGTCGTTCTTCTCCTCTCGAGTCAAGTGCTTATTCCTTGTCTTGGTGGACTGAGCCATCGAAGATGCTCTCTTGCTAAACAAGGGGAGCTGTAGAATATTTCGAAGAATATGGGGCCAAGTGGATAAGGAGAAAAATTCGATGATGTCTTCCAGACGCGGAAGGATGAAACAACACTAAGATATATGGGCTGAATTCCATGACTATAGTATATCATGTAATAACTCAAGTATCTGAATCATTTTGATCAAACAATAAAATATTTTCATCATATGACATGATGAGATTTTGATTTATGTGTATAACATCAATTGATGGTCATTGAATATATATATGAAATAAACCACACAATATATGGAAGAAAAAATGATATACATGTTGAATAGTTTGATAGATTTTACATGTTTACATCAAAATCTGGATCTTTGACTTTATATAATTTTAATGCTAGAATAACATTCTCAATAATCTCATTGTACTCTTAAACAAAGCATAGATTTGCTCTAACATCTGTCAAAGACAATACATACCAAACTCAACAAATCGTTTGTCCTCTTGAACAGAGCATACATTTGCTCTAACATTTGTCAAAGACAACACATACCAACGCTTCTCTCACGTTAGCTAATAAGTTTCACATGCCATTAAAACATCCTGGGGATGGTTATATTCTATATTATTGGGCATTGTGACATATGAACCAGGTGAATCACGACTAGGCTGAAACTTAGTGTTGTATAAATTTACCCCAATGCATGGTGTAACCAAGATCAAAGAGCATGCACAGTACTCTAAACAAGATAATAATCGAGTATTTGTAATACAAAAATAGTCAATTTCTTCATGGATTTGACATTGTTAATGAAAAGCTTACTGAAACTATTAGTTTATCAATATGAATAGTATAATTCTGTTACAATATTTGGGTAATTAAGAAATAAATATTCAATTAAAGACTCGTTAATTCGACAAAAGAATACATTTAAGATAATTACCATTTTCATTTCAGTGGAAGAAAATTGTTGGCTACATGTCCGGTTGGAATGGTCGTATTTGCTTGGTTCGTCTTCTTATTCCTGGCATTGAATATTGACATATGACACATATAGCCTATCATTTGAAAACCTTAGAGCTACAAAAATTTTAGATATGAATCAAATGCTATATAATTTTTGAGTGTAAAGGTCATCCTCATGCACAATACACTCTAACCAAGATGTGGAACAAATTATGGCCATATCGTACTTAGAGCTCGAATGAGGATGACTTTCCCTTTTGTCAAAAATAATAATTCATTCTTAAAAAACTTACTATTTAACCCTGATTTGGAGAGCTTTTGGTTGTAAGCTTTCATCTGCCAATAATGTGACTGTTGCTCTCCTGAAAAGTCGAACCGTTCCAAAAGCAAGGTGATTGTCTAGTTGACAAACGAAACAAAATCAACAGTATGTATTTAAATAACTATAGGGAGAATCAAAGCTGTGAGGTGTGATGAGGCGAGAAGTCAGCCCTAAACCACTTTTGACACACGCTTCGGAGTTTGATATGATCCTATTTTTTTTTCCATGTTTTAATTCACAATAAAGGAGAAACTAAAAGATAAATCTCAGTCAGTCTTTGTATCAGATATCCAAACACAGTGAAACCAACCAACTGTATAAATCAATCCCACATAGGTTGACCTGACTGGGCATGCAGCAAACAAAATGCTAGAAATTGAAGAGCGAGCCAGTTGATATGCTCTATGAGGATTATATCAGGGAATCTCTTTGTGGAATTAAGTAGTAGTTGAATGCATATTTCAGCGAGTATTTCTTCCGATAAAAATAGGATAGTGTTTCCTCTATAGAATTATTACTTTTAGTGTTCGTGAAGCTAATCGACTGCGTTGGCAGAGGTGACGTAGTCGGTTTCGGAAAGATTGGGCCTACGCAGTAAGCGAGATTACTGGAGTCAGACGCCCGGCACTCGAGAGCTTTGTCCCTTCGCAACAAAACGAACAGCATGACATCGGGCCTGCCTCACCAAACGCCGGTAAACGGTAATATATCCGTTGGAACGATCGAAATGACCAGAGGACCGTTCCTCACGCGAAAAGTGAGGCACGAAGTCAGATACCGGATGAGGCCGGTCATCATTCCCTCGTGCATCGGGAGGACCGTCGCTTTCGATTCCGGTCCGCCCGTGCCCAAATCATGGGCAGGCCTCGCGCATGGGTAAGGCGCTCTTTATCTGTGGTCGGCGAACCATGCACGGTCTGGCTTCACTCGGAAACCACGCAGTCGACTGCGTCGCATTCACTCAGTCCACCACGCTGACCCTGCGCTCGCCCCCCCACGGGAGAAAATTCACCGATCGGGTAAAAAGGAATGTTCTCGTCCCACATCCACACCACAGTCCTCCCTCAGACTTCCCTCCCAACTCGATTTCATCTCCCCGGATAATCATTAACCTCACAGTAATAATAATTCCGATTAATTCGTTGGAGTTTCACGTTTGACTACATGGTCAAACTGTACTGAGCTTCGAAAACCGTTCGATGGGATACGAGCGTGTGATATGAGTATTAAGATCGTCGATTGAGAATATTCGATTAAGGATTCCGACAAGACGTGTGTAGGATTGGGGCGTATGGTTTACAGTACGATCGGGAGTAAATACGGGGGAGGAGAATGTGATTAGACGTTGAGAAAGAAGCGCGGGTGATCATTGATGGAGGATGTCTAATTAAGGAGACGACCGCCGACGGTCGACGGTCGACCATGTACGGGGGGGGTAACGGTGAGGGCGGGACAGTGAAGCGGAGCGGAGGGAAGGAGGGCGGGCAGTGCCACATGGAGCCCGGCGGTAGGGGGGGGATCGGCATCAGAGAAGACGGGGCGGCGACCGACGGGTGCACGGAAGCACGGGGGAGCACGCGGGCAGGGGGCGGTCGCGGAGGGAAAGAAGCGCGGGGGTCGCGGGGTGGGGGAGAGAATAGTCCGCGAGGAATGAAAGGCGGATTGACCTCTTGCCTGCGGCCCGCAGCTTCGTCTTCCGCGATCGCCCGCCCGCCCGCCCGTCGCTGCCCGTCGCCCGCACTAGCAAGAGGAGGGACGAGGCCCGAGGACGGTCGGGTCGGTCGGAGCCGGTGGGACCCGCCAGCCCGCGCCTGGCAACGCAACGTTCTGCGCTGCTCGGCGCTGCGGGCCGCGCCTCCAGCTGCAAGCGTTTTGGGGACCTGGGGCCGATCTGCGGCAGCTTGTCTGTTTGCAGGGGGCTCCGATTTTCCGTGCACTGTGAGGGAGCGAGCGAGGGAGAGAGAGGACGAGGCGAAGAGAGGAGGAGAGACACGGCAAGGCAGGCACACGGCGACGACAATGCTGCAGCCCTCCTCCTTCATCACTTCCGAGCCTCCGACGCCGGCCGCATTATATCATCGAGAGGTGAGCGATTCCAGCACGGGAGATTGAATCTGGACACCCCTTCGGTCTCGATTTTGTTCGTCGTCTGTCTGATCGCCTGCGGATTCCCTGGACTCCTCCGTTCGGGACAGCCTTGTGGATGATGAGCTTTGGCCGACAGCAGAGGAAGAAGCAGAAGGAGAGGAAGACGCTCGCTTGCTCGGCGGAGGAAGACTCTCGAGCAGGCCGAATTTGTCGATTTGAATTGATCGTGGAATCCGCCTTCCCCCCAGAATCGATCCACGCTTCGTGAAGCTGGCCGTCCACAGTGTACGTCGGGTCCCCTGGTTGAGTCGCTCTGCGCGCAGCCATTCTTCAGGGGTGTCGAGAATTTCGAGCCGGAAGAGCGATCTTAGCTGAATGTAATCGAGGATTTTGCATTTGTGAAAAGTCTGCTTCGTAGGTAAGGAGCGTCGAGGGTATGTCATGGATCTGTTGGGTATGGGAAATGGGTTTAGAGCCTGTGAGCTGAAAGATTGGAGGGAAGTTGATTCTGTTTTTTGAGACTGTCGTTTGGTGTGGGCAATTAGTTGCGTGGATGGTTGCGGATCATGCTGCGGAAGAATGTGTTTGTGTTTCTAGAATGGCACGCTTTACGGGCGCTCTTTGAAAACAATGTCTCGTTGTTTCCATTGGGCGCAGAGAATGGCTGGAGTAACATCCCGAGAAGTAAATAGATCAGAGCAAGGCTTTAGCTTCTGGAGCGTGTTGGCTCAAAAGGCTAAGGCGGTTCTTCTAGAGGATGGAATTCCCTCTCAGCTACCAGACGATTCCGAGAGGGAATCGGAACCGCTGAAGAAGCCCGAGAGTCCTGCAAGAGAGCAGGTCCATGTTCACTCTCACCCGTTCTCTCGACGACTCGAATCTGCTTGCAGAAAAGATTGCAGAAGAGATTCCACAGCGGCCTGATATGGCAGTGACCTCATCAGCTAATTTTGAATCCGGACAATTGAGCCTCAGTTCCCTGCCATCCGGTGGATGTAGACTGCTGGATCTGCACGGGCCTCGTATTCTTCTATTATCATGTGCTGAAGTTTTCGAGCTGCTTTGTCTCATGTCGTGATGGTTGTCCGCAGATGCCAAGTTTGAAACAAACGCCACCTTCGTTGGTGAAGACGAACAGTATGGGAAGGCCGCTCCAGAAGAGCTTGGATGCAATTGCTTCTTCACTTTCTTTGCTCGGTGATACGCTCGGCACAGCAATTGAGGTAACGGCGATTTCCCGACCACCTCGCTCTGTCTCTCCTCTTGCTACCCGTTCAATTTTTATAGATGACCCGAGTGATGAATTGAAACTCGGTTAAACCTGAGAACGAATGGTGAGCTCGACGGATGCATCGTATTTTGCCTCGCTAGAGAAGAATGGGGCCTGTAAACCATGAAAGCCTCTCAGGTTCTTATTATCGAAGACAGTGGACAGTCAGTCAGTCAGCAGTCAGCTCGCCGCTCTATGTATTGCGGCCCGATCGTGTTCGCTGACAGTTTGTTCTCCGCGAAATTGCCTCTGCTCGCGGGTTTGTTGAGTGTCTCCTTTTGCCCAACGCGCCTCATCTGTTCGAACTAAGAGCACGACTGTTCTGTACAAGATGGTCACTTTTTCGGAAGATCAGCTGGCTCCATTGCGAGAGTCAGCAGATTCTCTTTAATGCCGAAGAATGGCGAATTGGAGTGATCGAGTGGTCCTGAGGCAATCGTTTGTACTGCCATGTTTTTACTACTTGAATCTCGCAATTAGATAGCGAGCTCCGAGAAAGCTGTCCAGGTTCAAGATAAGTCGTATGGCTGGTCTTTGCAGAAGTGCGCTGGATAGTGCAAATCACTTATCCTTGGTCTTGCACACTTCTACTGTTAAATTAAAACAGCGATCAGTAGGTCCTTCCACAGGAAGTGTTAAGCCCGCAGCTCACCTCAATCTTGTGTTCCGTCTTTCCCGGGTCGTACAGCGAGTGAGTGTTCCAGGAGTTAGGTTCATTGTCACAGCATCTGTTTCTCTGTTTTCTGGACGTTCACAGTTGTTACTGACATTTTCTGAGTGGCCAGTAGATGTCTTCATCTTCATCATCCTAGAAGTTAATTTGAGCGATGGGCCTGGAACCTCTGGAAGAACCTTGACATTCTCTTTCTTCACGTCCATACAGGGCGTGGGGGCCTGTGGTCGGAGGGTTCTACCAGGCGCCGCTTGCCATGTAACTTCTCATACTTCAATTTGGGAATTAGTTCTATTCTATTGTGTATTTGTCTGTTGAAAACTAGGAGTTCATCGTTGCTGTACGCTGTGCCGAGGAAAAACCATTGTAGATGCCACTTTTTCTGTGAAACTGGCATTGGAGTCAGTCTTAACATGGTGTACAAATTTAATTATACAAAGGAAGCTCGATGGTCTTTCCATCCAGTGTCCTGGAGTCTTCAGTCACCCAGTTTTCGTACCGGAGCTTCACAAATTCTACATCGAATCTTGTGGCTGCTGTAGTTTGTCTCTCTAGGCCTTCTGTGACCTCGAACCTAGAACTGCACGAAAAATTTGGAAAGTCGCCTGAAAAAATTGCTGCGTGTTTGGACGTGAGGTTATTGTTTGTCAGGTCTTCTACTCCTAGTGCATCTGTCGGTGACTCCAAATTTAGTTTCACGAAATATGAATCTTAAGTTTTTCCAACAACTTACTGCATTTACATGCGCTTTCCCCGTCTTGCTCTTCAATAGGAGAGTGTGGCTATGGAAGTCTGACGTGCAGAGTTTTGTTTGTGAACGGTATTCCAGGAAGGCTTGCAGTTGATGGAAACAAAAACCCTCGGATCACCAGACACAAACAAGTCATTGCAAAGAAGTCCGTCAATTTGGAGGAAGGTGGAAAATGTCAGAAACAGTAAACATATTCTGAAAGCAGATCCCTCTATACCTCAAAGTCAAACCGAAGCGCAACTCAAGGCCTCTCGCGATGTAAGTGACAAGTCCAACATGAAACTCTCCTTCACCCTTGCCGTGGAGGTCGATTATTTTCTTCTTTTTAGAGATGATAGTATGTGAAATTTCTACCGAACTAATCCTCATTTACCGGGAAGGGAATACCACGTCATGTTTTCATTACTGATTTGTCGAAGTATATCACGTTAACACCTCTACAACTGATGTATCCACAGGTAGCTATGGCTATGGCCTCGAAGGCTAAGCTGTTGCTGCGAGAGCTTAAGGTAACGAAAGCAGATATGTCCTTCCTGAAAGATAGGTGTGAGCAGCTGGAGGAGGAGAACAGGAGCTTACGTGAAGGTGCCAGTCAAGGCGATGATTTGGTTAGTCGTCTCTCTTTGTCAATCTTGCTTCCAATGTCGTTAGCTGATGGATGCTAGGACACAATCAGAGACGCTACCCTCGCTCTGTGCGCTTGGGGGTTGGTAATGGTAATCGGCAGCGAGTCTAACTTCATGGTCGATGGATTCTGAAGCAGGTGAGGGCACAATTGGAGACCCTGCTGGCAGAGAAGCAACGGCTTGCACAGGAAAACGCCAACTACGCACGAGAGAATCAGTTTTTGCACGAGGTAGTGGAGTACCATCAACTCACTCTCCAAGACGTGGCTCTTCTGGACGAGAGTTTGACCGGAGCCGCAGAGGACTACTCGCCGAGAGGAAACTATCACGACAGTTACGCGACGAGCACGAGCTCGAGCGACGACGAACACCACGTGAGCCACCATCAAGTTTACAGGGAATCGAACTTGAGACATTACTCTTGAAATCCAGACCTGCCGCCCTTGTCCATCATCTCGCTTCTCCCTACCCGTATACGCCCCCCTCGCCTCCGATCCATGTTCATAGTCTTCGTCCAAGCTTTCTGCGCTCGTAGCACTCCGGTTGGAGTTTTTCTTTCGACCCCTCGATCCTTTTGTGTGTCTGTCTCCCAAGTAGACGATCGTCCGCTCGTGTATGCAGTTGGGAGTTGACCGAAACCCTCCGATGTTTCAGATGTTTACACCAGATCCCAGACCCGGACTCTATTTTTTACAAGTCCACAGAACTTGCTAAATTCTCGACTTCTTCTTCATCTTCATTCATGCAATTTATTATCCTTTGCCTGAAACTGTACAGCATCCCTCGTCCCTCTTTTGCCGAAATACGGAGTCATGAAGCGAGGCAATCGAATCGATAGATAGAGAATTATCAACGATCAAATATATATCGCGTGCGGCTTTCCTCCTCTCCGTGCTGAAATTCCGTGATCCTGTACTGAACGCCACACCGAGAGAAGGCAGCAGGAGGAGCCTAGAGCCAGTAGGGAAGCGCTACCGCAGGTTCTTTAGTATGTAGGTCTTTTGGAGGCAGTTTGGCGGTGGGCACAGCTAGAGCTCATTCAAGACGAGCCAATTACGTGCCGTTGTACTAAAGTTTGCAGTTTGCAGGTCTATGTCAAGCTTGAACAGAAGATCGATCATCATCTTGTACAATCTCCACACGGAACATAGACGATGCAGGAAAAGATTCTTGAATTATTTATGTTCTACCGGTATTATTTAATTATGGAAGAAGAGAAGCCGCTTGACCTTCTTTCAAAGTTGTTACCTTTATCATCATCGTCTCATTTCATCTCATCTCATCTGATCTTCCGATGTATTACAACCCTTAAACCCTAAGCTGTCGCTGTGCAGTATGAGTCTTGCAAGTTGCAGAAAATTGTAAGTTGTTGGTTGGACTTTCAATTAACCCGAGATCGATTTTCAGTACTACAGACCCCCTTGACCACCTAAATGCACGTAGCTGCCGGGCCGGCTTTTTCAATTCTACCGGAAAGTGTTGGAAGAGTATGGAAATTCTATCCTGGGTGTAGTTAATTCCGACCTAATCGCATCGTTCTATGCATGATCAGCTCACATCCATATGCAGAGAGGAATCTGCGAAGTGTCTAAAGCCAGAGGAGGAAATCCAACTACTCTGTCGATAGTAACACTCATCGAGCTCTTGAATTGAGTTCACCAACTGTAATATGACTACTAGCGGAATAGAAGTCGCGCACTGAATAAGGGCAATTCCGTTGAAAAAGTGCGTCATCAAGGTTCTCAGCGAGCCAAGTGAGATGCTTCATTTCATGAACAGAAGACACAGAGTATAATTAGAGAGAGACGAGGTTGTCGAACGAAGGACATCTGACAGACCAGTGGCAAAAAATTAAACCCCCTTCACCTACTGACAAGATCGGCAGAACACGTTTTAAGACACAATCAAGAGGACCACCTCGAGACCCAGCAGAACCTACAGAACGATGCTCGGACTCTGGGGTCGTCTTCAGGTCAACCAACAGTATCATTGTCGACAACCTTCCAATTCGACATCGTCCCAAGTCGGAGCGGGCGAGCGTGCGTGCGTGCACTTTGATGGAAAGCAAAGGGTGGTCGGACGAAGCGGCGAAGGGGCTTCGAAGGGACAGGATCATTGTGGTCGTTGAAATGTTGCCTTTGTTTGTTTGTCATGGGGTTTAGGTGAACGCACTGTTGCCACTTTTCGAGGCTAGATTTAGGGTTTGGGGAACCCGGGAAACCCTAAACCTTACTCTGCGGCCAGAAGGGAGTGAGGTTCCTGCTCGCGAGCAGGAGGGAGGGAGGGAGCGAGGGAGGGAGGGAGGACGGACACGAGAGCGTAGTAGCAGTGGCACCCCGAGAACCATCCTGCGATGGTCACGCATCCTCGGAACGACGAGGAGTCACGGACGAGCACTGCGTGAATCGGTCTGTCATCTGCGGCAGGGCGGGTCCTGTTGTCAATTCCGGTGTCGTGGGATCTACACAATCTTGACTTGGCGGAGACGTCTGCGAGGATCGACGAGGAGAGAAGGATGCCCGCGTCGATCGACCTACGATGAAACATCCTTCGATCGCTTCTATCTGTTTGGAAGTGGTGGGGATCGAAGGCGATCGGCCCATTGTCAGGTTGTCGAATTCGAAGGCGAGGGGCGTGAATTGTGTCAGGTGAGAGGCGATCGTGTTGGAATTGATTTGAAAATTTGGTCCTTTTGTTTCCTCCGAAATGGCTCCCTGGATTGGACGCGATGTCTCGGCAGCAGCGGCAGCCATCGCTTCTGCTTCCTACTTCCTGTCGCGGCAAACTCCGATTGCCTATGCGGACAGGAGCAGCATTTTTGGCTCAGCTCTCCCCAAACCTCCCCCGCCAGCAGAAGTGTCGGCTTCGGAATCCAAGGATCAAAAAGCTCGTAAAGATGCACCTAGAACGTCTGAAGTGGGGTTCGATCCCGAAGCATTGGAAAGAGGAGCCAAGGCATTGCGCGAAATTAATGCCTCTGCACACGCGAAAAAGGTGTTCGAGTTGATGAAGAAACAGGAAGAAACTCGACAGGCCGAGGAGAATGCGAAGAGAGCTGAATATCAGGCTCTTCAGGCGCAGTATGAAATTGAGAGGCAAAAAGCTTTGTTCGAGGAGCAGAAAAATCTCATGCAGCAGCAGGCACAGAGCAAAGCCCAGTTGGCGAGATACGAGGATGAGCTCGCCCGGAAGAGGATGCAGGCCGAGCACGAGGCTCTTAGGGTTCGCAATGCCGAATTGGTCAAGATGCAGGAAGAATCTTCTGCCAGGCAAGAGCAGGTGAGGAGGATGACCGAAGAACAAATTCAGGAGCAACGTCGGCAGACCGAGAGGGAAAGGGCCGAGACAGAAAGAGAGACAATTCGGGTGAAAGTGATGGCAGAAGCAGAAGGTCGTGTACTCGAGGCCAGAAATTTGGAAGATGTCAACAGGCGGATGTTCCTGGACCGAGCTACACAGGAGAAGGATAAGTGGCTTGCGGCAATCAAGGCTACCCTGGACCAGGTCGGAGACGGTTTCAATTCTCTGGTTAATGATAAGGACAAACTCTTCGTCGTCGTCGGAGGTGCCACTGCATTGGCAGCTGGAGTTTACACATCGAGGGAGGGAGCTCGCACGATGTGGAATTACATTGGTCAGATCTTGGGTCAACCATCGCTCATCAGAGAATCGTCGATGGCGAAATTTCCCTTCCTGCGATTTAGAAAGAACAAGAGCTCCTTTACAAATTCTGGTGCCAGCAAGGGCGCTGCAGGAGAGCAGAAGGGGTTTTCGGATGTTGTCCTACAACCAGGTCTCCACGGTAGACTCCAGGAGCTCGCAGTTTCCATCGCCAACACGAAGAGACACAATGCCACCTTCAGGAACGTCATGTTTTACGGACCCCCGGGAACAGGAAAGACCATGGTGGCGAAGAGGCTAGCGTTTCAGTCGGGATTGGACTACGCAGTCATGACAGGAGGTGACGTTGCACCCCTGGGGCCGCAGGCAGTGACCAAGCTGCACGAGCTTTTCGACTGGGCAGGCAGATCGAAGAAGGGCCTTCTGCTCTTCATCGATGAATCGGATGCTTTCTTGTCTGAACGTAACAACAGGGTGATGAGCGAGGCTCAACGCAGTGCTCTGAATGCCTTTTTGTACAGAACCGGTGACCAATCGAAGAATTTCCTCCTGGTTTTAGCCACGAATCGTCCCGGGGATCTCGATACCGCCGTTGTCGATCGTATCGATGAGGTCCTGGAGTTCCCCATTCCTACTCTGCAGGAACGGTTGGATTTGTTGAAGCTCTACTTCAACACGTACATTCTTCAGGCCGGGACTCGTTCCGGGTGGAGGTCAGTAATGCAGGGTAAGCAGGCCGATCAGATTGACGCCAGTGGAATCACAGATGAAATTTTCAGAGTTGCGGCTGAGAAGATCGAGGGATTCAGCGGAAGAGAGATCGCCAAGCTGATGGCTAGTGTTCAGGGAGCGGTGTATGGAAGCATTAGTACGACTCTTACACCAGAAAAGTTTATTGAGGTTGTGGATTATAAGATTGACGAGCACCAACGTCGATCGAAGTTCCGCGCAGTAGCTGCTTAAGTCTTCTGCCATGTACACGCACTCTCTGATGAGTGATTTAGGAAAGTTGGAGTGAGCTTGACATCCAGACAAAGAACCAGAGAATTCATCTGGACCTGAGGCGTACAAGCTTTAGTCACACGGAAAGCTGATACCTTGTGACAGTGATTGTGAAGTAAAGCTAGGATCAATCAGGAGCTGAGGACGTACCTGAGGAGACGGCTCCTTGCAGCTCGTTGTGCAATCTCAACAATTTTGTCAGTTTTAGGATACTTAGAAGTAGCTTAGAGAAACGAGTAACAAACAAACACACCGTAGCAGTAGGCATTGAAAGCGAACAGCCATCCTTCTTCTGGATTCAGCAGGAGAGGGAGGGTCTTGCACAGCACACAAGTGCCCCCTTGTTTGTAAATCACAATTCTACCCATTCCAGGGAAAAAATGGCCTAATAAATTATAAGCAGTACAGCGTACATGCATCATCGAGTGCAGTATGCTGACGACGCTGCTGGTATGCACCCTTTGGACGTGCCGAGCCTCTGTCTCGAGCTTCATTCAAACTGGTTGCTGAGACGCCGAAAGGCCTGACTTTTCATGACTGTATCCTGAATTTTTCATGTATGCTTGAGTTTCTCAAATGGCTGGTCGTCGACCATCAGGTTTGCTATATTCGCTTTCGTCCCTCAAAGATTCGACTCCTCTGCATGGAGAGCCGGATCAAGTCACACAATGATGAATGAAAGGTTACATCAACTGGAATAAGTGAACTCTGAGTGGGAGTTCTGTAGATGTCTTCCCTTCCGTCGAGAGAAGGGAGGCTTCTATTTGTCCATAAATTCCCAGTTTGAAGGCAGAAATTCACGAACCTATCACTCACTAGTAAGGAACTGATAATTAACGAAGGTATTGGGTATGTATCCTGCGACGAGAGTAATAAATTATGATATGTTGATGTACTAGATAACATGGGTCGTTGAAAATCGGAAATGTTTTGATGAACAGATCTGTTTGCAGAGTATGTGTAATACTGGTACAGATATCTCCATCAGTTGTACAGAGGATGAAACTCGAGATGAATAGAATAGCATCTCCTGGGTTTCGTCTCTGCCCAGGTCAGTGCAAGTGAAAATGTGGCACAATTCTAATATCATATCTCAGTTCACAGTAATCCTTCCAGTTACCATCTCGAAGCATACTCCATTACTGCAATGTAATGTTTTGTTAAAGTGGAAAACTCTCACGGAAAACTCACGTTAGACCCCAAGAAGTGGACGACCGGCGGACATCCTTTGGGACTGATATGAGGGAGAGCAAGCACCTTTCGGAAAGTCAATTCTGCTATCTATCGGTAGAGGATTGCGCGATTGGCTGATTCTACGCACTACATAACATCGGGGCATATCTCAAGTTGTGGTGAGATCTGCTTGGTGGCACAAAGGAAACCGCTGTTGCAGTCCTGCCTGTATAATGAGATCAGATCAGATATCAGAGAGCGTCAGCAAAGCTTTCTCGTATGCGGAATTCATCTCTTTCTGTGCCTACTGTAGGTCCTGATTGTGTTGAGATAAGAAAGAAGGAAATGGCCAAAAGATCACCCACAATATGATGATAAGGAGTCGATGTCGCACTTCTTAGCACGCGAAGATTGCCCACTCAAATTGGTAACTTGGCCCGCTTTCGATCAGGCAGCCATCCTGCGCGAAGTAATGTGATCTTCCTCTCTCCAGCCGACGAGAGAAATGCTTGTTCTAAGATTTGAGAGATCAGCTAAAGGTGATGATTTCGAAATTGATAACGAGTTGCATGTCAACCTGCCTGTGTTTCGAATAGTTCAATCATGCACTAATATTTGAAAGTTTTCATTCTGGACTTACTCGGAAACTCCAGATGGTGCATAGTCAGTTGAGCTCTCATTTGGAAGAACCAACCTCGGGCTCGTTCGTTTACAGCTTTCAGATTCACGAGAGTGAAGAAATTGAGGGAAAAAAAAGATTCATTCGTGAGGCGATTTATATAAAAAGGTATGTCCTCCTGATGACCGACTCTCGCAATAATATTCATGGTTGGTCTTCTATATTTCACCGCAACTCAAAGTTTAAAGTAAAAATTATTTGACTTGTCATCTAGATACAAAGATAAGCAACTCTAGAAATGTAGAATTAAGTACCCAACATGTACTGATATTAATCTCAAATCAATATCACATTCGCTTTAATCTTAGCCCAAAATTAAAACATGGTTTTTTATCTACCCAATTCTAGTTGACCAGATACCAACGTCTCCTCCATGAAAGTCATACACTTACGGAGCATATTAAACACTACATTTTCATTGCATTACTTAGTGTACTCCAAATAAACAAGGCATATCAAAATCTGTTGTATATAAATAAATTTTCGTTTGTTTATGGATGTAGAATTCAAGTAATAAAGTATGATTTAGCATAGTTTAAGCATTTTTCAAGCTTTCACGTCAATGTTCATACTCATTCAAAAAAGAGAGTATACTATGAGAATCCATTGAGATTTGTTTATATTGTTAAGATAGTCTATCTTTTTTATACTTTATGTCCATGTAATGTACCATAATATCACAAACAAATTGATTCAATTTTCTTTTAGATCTTTTATGATACTTACAAAATGCACCATCATTTGAAAGAATACAAGTGTTGCTCTAAGATTATAAAAGAAAACATTATGATGTTGAAGATAGCTCATGAGGTGAAATCTGCTTGAATGAAAAAGCAAAATTCACCCCATAAGCTTAGTAAAATACTCAAGAATAATCTGAACTTATTTTTTTGGACATCATTGATCTTTATTAAAGAATCACTACAGAAAACATCACAAACAGGGATGCTGTACATTAAATTTGATTATATCATAAATCCAACTATTGTAGACAAAATAATTATTTTTCTTTATGTGCTCTGTTGAGGTTAACTTCTGTTTGAAAGTAGCCTAGACCTAGCTAAGTTTAGTTAGGAACCTTCACCTCAACTTGATATTTAACCCAGGACTTCTGTACCACTTATTATACTTTGAATCATTGAGAGTGAGAGTTCATTGAGAGTGAAACTCTCACTTTCTAATTTCAATTGAACTTAGAATTTTTTCTAAAAAATTCTCAGATTTTTTGATCTTCTCTATCGATAACTTATGAATTCATGAATCAGTTCAAGTTCAGAATTTATAAAATTATCAAATATTGCCGTTAAATTTTAGATCAGGTTTTATAAAATTTTGGAATTATCCAATTTATTTGAAATCAGCAGATTGATTATGAGTGACATAAATTTATGAGTTTCAATCATTGATATAAAATCTAAATTCAAATAGGAGACATAGGCTAAAATAGTAGATAAAGTTTTCAGGTACCTTGTAGTCTCATTTGAATTTCAAAACAAGGAGTTTTTTTGAGAATTTCCACACCCAAAATCTTAACCAAATATCTAATAATTATGATCAGTCAACAATTTCAATTAATTATATAAATTATAAATCTTCAATTATTTAAATTTTTTTTATTTCATTACAAGTGATTATCACATATTTGATTAGATTCATTCATGAAAATCATTTTTTACATTTGGTTAGCCATACATAAATATCAAACATCAATTTTCCTTCTTGTATCATATACATGTGTTCAATTATAAAAAGCAAAGAGATTCATTTTTTATTTTTCTATGTATCAAATTTTTAGCATCTAAAAAAATATAATGAAGAAGTTCAAAGATAAAAAATAAAATAGAAATATTTTCAACAACGTATTTTACTTTGGAGATAAACATGAAAGTGAAGTAGAGTATATGGTTTTTTTAATGGCAAAAGAGATTTATTCAAGTATAAAAATTATGACATCCATGTTGTTAAGTTTTTTTTACAACTTCTATAATTTGATTCCTATTTATTGAAATTAATTCAAAGAATTGACACGGTCATGTCTATAATATGTATCGATTCAATAATTCATTTTTTATATATAAAATTTATATTTTCTCTAATTTTTTATCATTATAGATTCAATAATAAAAAATCATTTCTTTCAATTTTGCAAGTAAAACATCAAGTAATATTTTTTTCGATTTTGATGAATTTTTAGATATTCGATATTCTTTATACCTAACTTTAAATTCCAAGTTTAATTTAAATATCGGAAATTAATTCTCAGCTTGAATTTCAAGTTACACACTAACGTGGTATTTTAAAATAGAACTTATTTATAGCTTTTAAGTTTGAGTAGAATATTTGAAAAAATCTATAAAATATTTCTTTTCAAATGTGATTCGAATTCCCAGGTATATTTTTCCTTACAATTTTCAAATTTTATTCCACATTTCCATTAAAAAAAATAATTTTGAATTACAAAGAAGATTCCTGGAGTGAGCAGTTTCTATCCGTAAGAATGCTTTCGCATAAGATCCTGTAGTGCTTTAGATCGCAGTACTGATTCCATTGAGATGAACAGAAATAATTTTCAACACTAGTGTATTTGATTCTATTGTGGTTGTTTACATTTCCTATTTTCTGTATATATCCTTTTCGTTTGCCCTATCGTTACAACAACATAATATGAATTGGATATGCCTTTAAGGTTACGTTTTTGCACAATGTCAAGTTTAAAAATCAAATTTCATCGTATAAATCACCATCATTTCGTTGACGTGGATATTTTCAGCGCGTAATTGAAAATAACTTTCCTTGTATCACTCATCCTTTCCATGCTACAAACTCACTGAAGACTGTATTTACAACTTCATTAGAGTGACTTGGAGATGCACTCAAACTGCAAGCCAATAAAAAAATGTGGATGGTAAAGTTCGCTTATTGTGAATATTGGTACGATTAAAGCTTACATTCTGGAAAAAAGTCGCTTCAGTTTCCATGTAGGTTGCAATTTATCTATCCATGCAAAGAAATTGCAAACTTTTCCATGTCGACCCATCCTTCCCCGGATTGATGTCTCTTTACTTATTTTCATGTGGTGACTGACTCTTCTTCTTTGAGTTTATCTTAATTTATGAATTACTAGATCTATCGAGGATCTTAAAAAGTCTTGTATGTTTCTCCTCTGAGCTTTGCATATCACCCAACGTGAAGTAACATGGGGTGATAATGCGAAGTCCAAAGGGAGTTAAATTGTCGAAGAATAAGTCTCACGACGACGTGCACATTGGGTTGCACGTAGTCCGAAATCTGAGTGGGTAGTTGAGAATTCATTGCGCTTATTTGGATAAATACACAGTTTCAGAATCTTGGAAGTTTTAAGACGTATACCGTTAAATCAGGATGTTGAAGCTTGTAGAACGGCTTCCACTTCTTTTCCTTTTCGATATCCAAGACGGAACTATATTCTTTCCTTGGATGAATATAAAAATAAGGTAACGTATCCACATGTACTACCTTTTAAAAACACTTTTCTCACATGTACTTTCAGCGCAAGTTTTCGAAACATTACCCATAAGCCTACATTCGATGCATAGTGGAGAACTACCTTATCTATACATTAGGAAAACATCAGCCTTCCCATGTTCCCATGTCAAACTTGTTTAAATTTGTATATTCTTACTGAAAATTTGGAGACTCTTTTTAGTACAAGTACGAAGCTAAAGATAGGGCTGCGTTCAAGTATAGAATGACATCGTTTACAAAATGTAAAGGTAGTTCCTAAAAGGAGTGGACCCGAATATTATATACGCTCTATTGTGGATTATCCTCCCCAAATGGACTCTAAAGCAGTTATTTATACATACTCTAAATTAAAATATTACAACCTTTTTTCTTTGGGGGAAAAGGAATGTATTCTCTTGTTGGTGTACGTCGCTGCATTTCGAACGCAGAGCCGACCCCGCCATTTTCTCGAGTCCTGGGGCGTGCCAATGTGCAGTACTGGAATCCGACGAGGCGAGTCGCGGATTGGCTGACCACGAGGATCTCCGGTCCGTAGACACCGCTCGGGAAACAGTGGGGCGCGATCATCGGGCCTTCGGGACGGTCGGCAGTGATCCCGTACGGCACTCTACGCGCCCCTAAGTCTAGCTCACGCACGGTACAGGCCTCGACTGTACTGTACTCCTCCTCCTCGTCGACCGAGCGCCGATGGCACATCCACCGGCTGGAGTAAAAGCGACGACAGGTGCCGGCGTGTATTTCTCCCGTGGAGTGCCGCGCGGGTGCACGGGCACGGGCACCCGGGCTCGGGCGGTCTCCCGTTCTCCGGCTCTGGACGATGTCATTACTGGGGGGTCTTGATTGATTAGGTCTTCCCCACTGGCACGCCAGTGAACCGGAACCACGACGCAACGAGTGTCACCCAATCGCACAGTGCGCTGCTCGTTTTACGTACGCAGCAGCGGCAGTAGTGCGTTTCGTTTGCTTCGATTATTGATTGATTGGCTGATTGATTGATTGATTGTTTGATTGTTTGATTGTTTGATTGATTGTTCGTTCACGACATGCATGAGATTTGTCATGTCATGGCAGTTCAGTGAGTTGAGTTTCGTTCGACGGAAGCGCAGTCTGGGTCTGGGTCTCTCTCTCTATGGCCACGGAGCTCGGATTCTGATGGGTAACGTATGCTTTTTCACGATGTCGCTTCGGTCCCCGGAGGAAGCATAGAGAACTAAAGCTGTGGTGGTGGATGGAGAGCATTAATGCTCTTCCAATTATCGTCCTGCCATTTGGTCGCCAACCGCGATCGGGAATTCGGGAGTCTGAGCGTACCAACCTTCGAAAGCAATAGGGCTGTTGCTGCCTGCTTCCTCAGTGCTACCGAAATGAGATAAAATCTTGATAGACAATTGAGAGGCAGTGCACAGTGGGCACTATGGAAGGCAATTCTTCATCTCTATACGCATATCTAGATGCCTTCCTCAATATCAACCCGTCGGTTTTTGGCCTACGTGATAAGGAACAAAATTGAATCTTTTCACGTTCATTAACTGTTGTTGTAGAGTGGGGCCTTTGTTCTGTACTCTCCTCAGATCTCAAAGAAGATTCACTTTGGCGTAGCGATCTTTTGCTCACTTTACGTAGGTAAGGGTCTCGTGGAGGGCTCCAATCTCTTAGTGATGGTTGGAATATACCCTAATGCCCATGATTAGTGTTATGCAGTACGCTTTTCATGCCTTCAGCAGGTTGAAATGCTACATTGACATGTGCAACTTTTGGACTAGTTTTGGGCATCTTCGCCTATGAGATGCGGAACCAAGGTCACGCGAAGCTCACATAAGCAGAAACTCAGAAGTGCAGAATCAGAGAGAATTTCGAATGTATGCTGACAGACGGAACACAACTACAGTACTGTAGTCGAGCTGGGATTGGTAGGTCGCAGTTGAAGCAACTCTTTACCGCTAACCGAGGATGGTGCCAGAACGCGGAGGGTTTCCGATCACTCCATGGCGACGAAAAAGTCGCAGTAGCATATCTCCGCTTTGCCCTTTGCCATGCAAAGGCGGTCTGGCTCCCAACTTGAAGAGCGCCTTGTTTTTGCTGCAGCGCAGATAGCGCATGGCCATGTTCCCAACTTCCCACGGTAGCTACCCTCACCGGCTCCTCTGCTGCTGATTGTGCTCTGCAGACTCTAATCCGCAGTAAAAGAGGCCTCGCATCCTGTTTCTGCTCGATACGTCGTTAGCGGGCTACCTAGTCGGTCAAAATCTTTGTTTCTCAGCCTTTATGACAACCATGTGCTGAGGCTGGTGGTGGTTAAAAGTACCCTACCTGGTGGTGGCGAACTACGCCGGCGGCTAAGCTGATGGGGTCGATCGAGTGTCGAGTTTGGGAGAGTGAGAGCGCGCCACTGCCCCTGGGCCTTCTTCATGAGGTAGGTGTAGGAGTTGAGCTCAAAGGTTGGGTGAGAGTTACCACTGTGGATCACTCGTGCGCCATCATCGAGCGATGTTAGATGTTGCGATGTGCAAATACGTGGGAAATTACTCCTTTTGGGCAAGGGACTGAACGATTTTGAACGTACCATGAGTTGTGGTTCAATCAGGACAAAGTCGTGGTTGTAAATAATATTGTCCTTCGTCGACTAACCTTGAGCGGTCTGAGTGGAGTGGGATGCTCCTATAGAACCTTACCACCATTCCCCACCGCTCGAGGAGCTGTGATTCAAGAACTCATAGAGTCAGGTTTCAGATATTATGCTGTCCACTTCTCGTCCTACAAGCTAGAGGTGATCGTTTTGTATTCCTGAGCAGCGCTTGGTCAGTAATTTCTTAGGGTTGGGTGGTCCCCTTCCGGGTATATGAATTTGTTTTATTCTGTCCCACGAAACCCGGGGACGCTTTGTCAGTTTTGACTTGTTGAGCCTCTAGTTGTTTCGCAACTCACAACACTAGCTTCATTTCCCTGCTATGACTCGATGTACCTGAGGTGGAAATACTGGTTACTCAGTGTACCGTGTAGAGTTCAAACAGTTTAGATGACGAATGGAGATCATCCGACTTTCTACACTTTGTCATATTCTCATGTGACGGCTCGTCAGTGAGGATCCTGCATCGATATCTGTAGCCTAACGCTTATGGAAAACTGATACCTCAAATGTAACAGGCGGCACATGAGAATGTGAGACATGAGACGACAAGCGATCATGTGTCATAGTCTCACATATTCTCATGCGATCTCCCTTACGAGTTGAGAAAGCTATCGATGTAACTCCTAGTCAAGATAGCCGATTTCCAATCGTGAAATGTATTTAAGTCTCCGATTGCCGATAAGGAAAGAAACCCAAGGCTTGTGCTTGCACTAGGAACGAAAACTGATCTTGTGGTGATCTTTCTGGATCTCTGAAAAATATTTGTTGACTGAGCCTTCCCTCGTGATTTTCGTTATGTGCATGATGGTTTCTCTGCCCATGGGGTCAACTAGGACTTTCCTAGCGAAACGAGCAATTTCCCATGATGTTAGTCTAGGATCATCGTTTCAGGGAGATCCTTTCCATTCCGTGTATATCGCTTCTTTTGTATAAACATTCGTGAGAAACGAGGGAGGGCTATGCGACAGGTTACTACCCAGTTATAACTGCAAAGTGGTTATTCTTGTATGAATGGAAGAAATGTGTGAGGTGTTAGAGGTTAACCGGGTCCGCCTCCCCTGCATCCGGTCACATCTTCTATTGCATTTTAAATGTGGCCTATCGATTTTGTCAGAGCTTTCGAATGTTGAGATAGAATGGTGGTGATATAAATAGTAGTTTCTCCGAATTCAGGGGAGGAACGATTTTGACCTGAACAATTATCTCGCTGTTTTGGCGAGTTGTAGGCTTGACGATGATTCGCACATTCATCACAAGTGGATATGTTACTCAATTGTAGCGGGATAGACATCTTTTGATACTTATTATAACTATTTTTCAGGTTTCATCAATAGTGCAATATTATTTATTGCACTGTATTGATGCACCAAGATATACACATAGTAATTATTTTTTCTTCACTACTTTTTTCTTCTCAAACAATCTCCCTTTTACATATTTTGTTCTCGCTAATTTATTCAAAGCGTTCATGGTAATGAGCAGAGGAAGTGAGATGTGTTCACATAATATGCATGGATGGATAGTATGGTGAGGTTTCAATCCAACAGTTCTATCGAGTGTGTATATGTTGCACATTTGCGACTTAGATATATCGGCAGTATAGTTTCTCATTTGTTTCAGAACTTTCATATTTTTCTGGTTACGGTGCGGAACGCATATGGGTTTTTCCTTGTACTTGTACAGTTGTTTACATCATACCAAATCAACCGGAATTCCGTAGACAGCACTTGAATACATTCAACATGCACAGTAGAGAACAAAGGTTTGATTTTCTTCGAACAAAGTGCTTTCGATCGAAATTTCTTTTCAAAACTTATTAAATTGGCGCAGTAGGCATTCATCCTCTCGCGCATTTGTGTGCAAGAGAACTAACACCGCGCTTTGAAACCCTATTTGTACAACAGACGTTGTCTAACAACTCTTATACATCCGCAGCCTTTAAACCGGGCCTTCTGGATGACAGGTTGCAATGCCAAGCTCCTAATATTCTAAAAGATTAGAAGGCAGGCGATTCTGAGACAATGGTCAAGCGATGCACCCGGCCGTGGTTAGCAACAGCTCTGGTGTGATCTTCTTGAAGCCATGTCTTCACTGTTAATCACTATACACGCTATTCGAGCTCTCTTCCATTTGGAAAGAGCCCACTAAATTATAACTCGCAGACCCTCTTCACCCTTTCATGAAGATTGATCCGTGAGCATGGCTTCTCTGTAGTACATCGAACGAACGAACCCAACGGAAACTGTCCTCTGGACGCAACCCGTACAGCAGAGCGAGGACGACCCCCCATCGGAGTCGGTGGCGGTGTCTCGCGGTACACTGGACGAAACGAGATGGCATGATCGTCTGTTGGCGCCTCGAACAGCACTCCGCAGCGGTGCCTAGCTCGTGGGTCCTGCTGAGACGATTCGAGGCACCTGAGACGCAGGCAGTGCCGAATAACTCCTGGCCCTGGCGTACAGCGGAGAGCTGGTCGAAGCCCCACTTGGGGTGAAGTATGCGCCGTTCAAGAAAATGTCTCCATTCGATCGGTAGTCACCGCCATCTTCCAAATGCTTCGTCACCTGAGCAACGAACCAACTCCCGGTAAGCATTGGAATAATGAACCTCGTCAATAAACGTAACAGACATAACAAACAAATGCGCTGCCAAGGGACAGAGCAGGCAGAAGAACACAAGCTCACCTCCTTCACGCCGCCAGCATCGAAGTAGTTGCCCTCGCTGTTAATGGTAGGCTGTCCGCTCCCACCGATGGCATACATTTCCCACGAAATGTAGTAGTTGTTGAAGATATGGAAGTTTCCCAATCGACATCTGAGTCCAGGACAGGGCAGCGGGCGTTAGAAGAGACGTCCGAGGGGCAGCGGTGAGAAATACGAGTGAGCGCAAGTTGAAGATGGTACAGAGAGATTTATAGACAGAAGAAAAGGGCCGTCCGTACCTAGGCATGCGCTGGATCAGTCCAGGGCCGAATTTGTTGAAGCAAACGGTGGCCTTCATGTTCTTGTCGCGGTAGTCGCTGTCGTGGGCTCCGAGGAGCATGACTTTGTCGTGGTCTTTGAATTCGTTGTTGGATATGGTTACAGCGTCCGAGCCTTGGATGACGTCGACGAGGCCGTCGGCGCAGTTGGAGAAGGAATTGTGGTCAATCCAGATGTCGGTCGACTCGAAAATGCTGATGGCGTCGCCGTCCGTCTTTCCTCGGTCCCCGATGTGCGACTCGGAGCTCCGAATTCGAGCGGGTCCCGTGGACTTGCAGTCGTGAATGTGCAAGCCGTGCACGATGACATTCGTCACCCCCTGGATGGTGATGCACGCGCCGTTGGCAATGTGGACATTAGCTCCACGCCCGTCCAGAGTCTTGAAGCTGGTGACGATGAGTTCCTCCTTGAGCTGTATCGTCATGTCTTGCTTGAAGATGATCCACAGCGGCTTCGATTGGATGACTCCCCATCGCAGAGTTCCGTACTTGGGCTCCTCGGGGTCGTCGTTACCTGCGTCCGTCACTGTGTATATTTCTCCGCTGCGTCCTCCGGCCGCTTGGTGCCCGAAACCAATTGCGCAGTCCGCGAGCCTCTGGCGATGGCTCATCCAGTCCGGGTCGCACATCCAGCAGCTGTCGATGGGATTCCCGCTGCTGCATCCTGCCAGCTTCCTTTTGGCAGACACTGCTGGCGTCTTCGACTTCTTGCTCCTCAGCTCCCGCCTGTGAATGCTGTTCGTCAAATTTCCAAGCGGGCCCCTGGAGACCAAGAAATAATAACACCGAATCAGTGAGACCGTCCAATGGAACAATGCTGTTTTCTATCGACTTCTTACTTCCGCCCAGTCTGAGAGAGGTCGCTGTCTCAATAATATACGAAGCAGACTCGTCACACTACGACAACAGCTGCCCCTTGACCCGTAAACTCAAGCATATATCAACGGGCAGTTAATGACCCGATTCGACCACTCGCCACGAGAAGTTCATAGCTACCGAGAGTAGTACGTGATATTACTTGACAACAACAATTTTTCTGGCAGGGGAAGGAAGTGGCTACACACGAGAATGAATGCTGCTGGTGCGAGATGAGGGGTGGCAGATACGGCACGTAATGGAGAATACTGTCTGAGCAAACGAGATGGCTGGACTCGCTATCAATACTGAGACATGATTTGACTCTTACTGACCAGAGGAATAATATGAGAGAAAGGGAGTAATGCAGAAACAGAGGTCGAGTAGAACTCGACCAGAGAGAAGAGAAGGGAGCATTCGATGCACGCCGGAGTGATCTAGTGCAGCGCTGAACGGTATTGGAGATTTCAGCGCAAGGGAGGAGAATATCTGAGACACTAAATTTCCACGATGCATTGTACAATAGATGTGCGTTTGCTACTCAGCGGACCACTCACGCCGTCGAGTGAGTTGGTGCTGTGTGTTCTTACCCGAGGAGAGGAATTGCGCCCGCACTGGCTATAATACAGCACACCACCAACGCTCTCAGAGCCGCGAACGCACCCATTGCGAGTTCTTGAGAGAGAGCGAGTCCGGGAGTTGAATGCGAGGGGCGGGACGAGGGGACTGGTGCTAGGGGATCGAGTGTGGTGAGATCATCTGTGAGCCGAGGAGAGCTGAGATTATGTGCCTGCGCCCGGCGACTTATTTAAGGGGAGTGTGGAGTCCAAGAGAGCACTGCAGCGCAAGATCAACGGTTCGACCAGTTTAAACTACGATCGAATTATCCCCCGGTCGTCGATCGGAATCTCTCTGACAAGATTCGCGAATCCCGTGTGATGAAGTCCCCCCTAACGTGAACTCTTGCAGGGAGTGAAGTGGATTTCCCCCAAACTCCCTCGCTCCCACGAGTGCTGCTCAGCATTCAATGCTCACCGGGCGGGTCCCTCCCTCTGGACCTTCGTCCCCCTCCCTCCCTCCCTCCCTACGTCCCTCCCTGGCCTGTTGCCTCTACCCCCGCCCCCAACCCCAGGTCGTATGCAGTCAGCTGCAATGCACTGCGGTTCGAACTCGACGACGACTTCAGAAGGGAACAGTCCACCCAACTCAACCACGGTAGAGTTTAGTCAGTCCTCCAGAGGAAATCCTTGCTCCGTGTCCGGTCAGGACTTTAGACCTTCCTCAGTGTCCGGAAGTTCAAAAACTCTCCTCGTCTCCCTTACACGTGCGAATGGCGAGGAAGAGGTTGTCACTCTAAAGCGTGACAGTACGGTAATATTATCTCTCTACAGTGCACTGGACAGTGTGCAAGATGCGTATGCAGAGTTCTGTAGAGGCTTGAAGAAGTTCCAACCGGCGGGTTTCAACCCTCCACCGAAACCCGAGTAAGAGATTCTCCTCGTTTGGGACTGAGGGGAAGGTCATAATGTCCCCAATGGGGACTCAGAGAGTTTTCCCCTCCTCCAGTCCTTCCACCAAGTCCATCCCTAGTCTACCGGCTCTCCGACTGCGGCCCCGTGGATATATTATGCCGACAAACTGCATGAGAGCCGGCGGATTGCCGACTGCCGACTGCCGACTGCCGACTGCCGACGGCAACCGCCGCCTCCAAGGCGAGGCTCCGGCACCGGCCGGGATCTACCTTAGGGCTCGCCGCCAAGTTCAACGCTGGTCTACGACGTAGAAATACGAATCGCCGGGCGCAGGCTCAGCCGCTCAGAGCAAGATAGGGTGCCAATAATGACGTAAATCCGAGGGGAGGGCCCTGAAACCGCGCCCCTTGACTCTCCAGGTTTAGGAGGCAACTCAGGCCTCGTGTGGTTCAAATCGGGCTCCCGGCTAAACTTGAGGGAAGTTGATATGCGTCGCGGCTATATTTGGGGTTGACTCTCCACCCTAACGACCTCAGAGATCTCGCCCGCGACTCATTGGGTCGGACTGCCCGCTCGCTCGCTCGCTCGTCCTCGACCGGCACTGGTCTAACGATAATCCGGTCTGCGTCGACGAGACCCGCCGCGATCGGTAGTCACCTCTTGCCACCTTTTAGAAGGAGTCCGAAAGGCGGAAGCTGCCGAGAAGGTTCGGCGGGTAAAATTGCGGGGGAGGACGGGGAGAATTTGGGCCGGGAACATTGTTCGCATCAATAAATACATAGGACACATTTCCCGTGCTGCTGCTGGATAAGTGCGTCTGGCTCGGAGGTCTGTTTCGGTGATGATTCGGTTTTGTTCTGTTGCTGGTTGGGATTGGATTGGGGGGATGGAAATGGCCTTGGCATGGAAGGATAAAGGGGCTCGGCTTGATGGCTCGTTCTCGCAGATACATCGGGGCCTTTATTCGTTCTGTAGGGGATGATCGAAGACATGGAGCCCAGACGTGTCCACTCGCTTACGACTCACTGCGGTCATAGTTCATGTTCTGGGGAACAGGAACGCTTTTGTTGTGATGTGGTTCATGAGTGGACCTTCCACTTCAATCCATCTATCTGGTTGTGGTCGTTCGTTGTTTGTTGCTTTGGAAGCCGGTGGAGGACGGATCCACTTGAAATTATTATTCTCCATTTGTCGATGCTTTACTGTTCTTTAGCATACTTTGCGCTCGGAGTTTTGCCCCGACGTCACAAAGTCCACCGGTCGCCGATGCATCTTTACATCTCTAGCTGCTTCTTCTTCTTCTTTACGGGGGATCTCGGCACAAACTTTCTGCGGCAGTCCGCTGTGATTAAGGCTTCATGCAATTTACCCGCTCTCTCTCTCCTTACTCGCCCCATGGGTATCATCATTCCAGACGCCCCCATGTGCAAAAGGGCCACAAATCCCTCACCGCGGTCCGTCTTTGTCCCACCCCTCTGAAAAAACAATTGCAAATAATAATCAGAGGGCGGCATTACCATTCAGATCGCTAGCGCAAAGCGAACATGCAGCACATGAATGAGGAGAGGAGAGCAAAAGATGTCCGTCGACTTGCTCCCCCACTTTGCGGTTCTTATCTTTACTTTCATTCATCTTGCCTCGCTTCTCTTCCTCTTCTTTTCTCCCACTCGAGCACATTGGAAAGCGACGGCAATGTGTGCACATGAGCATCGCTATTTTTTTCGCATTTTCCACTCACTGTTGGGTCAGCTTATCCTCTGGATTAGAAACTCATGACTCCACCGAAGACGGGCCAGATCCACATGGATGAGCCAACGTATGACACTCTCACGTGGTAAGCACAGATTTCACATGGTAAGTATTGCTCGACAGCCGGATGATCTCCATTTATATATAATCTTCTGTATGTCCTACTGCAGCCAACAGTATTTGAGCTACGTACGTTGACATAATACTCTGATTTACATTCGCGCAGCGTGCCCCCGCATGCACCTTGTCCCTTGTCCATGGGACAAGGGACCATGTAAGCAACCGCGGTTAGAAGAAGTGTCACTCAACTCCGTTCCTGCTTTACATTTCCCATGCCTATGGACTTCTTCTTCTGCCCGGCCATCCATCCATCCATCCATCCATCCATCGGCCAATGCAGCGGCACATCACGTCGGGATTGTCAACCGGTCAAAAGCGCAGCTCTGGCCCAAAGGGCTCCGGAATTGAAGGGACAGAAAGAAACAAACTCCAAGTGCCCAATGAAGAGATCTCGTGCCCAACATGCCACCCATCCTTTTCACTCTTCCGGCCCTGTCCTGACTCCCGCAGGGGACTCTTCAGAAAGTTCCGATCTCCATCTCCAGCCCCGAAAGAGTCACTCAGCGAGCTGACAATTGTCCAAATTCGCTCAGTCGCCCATGAGCGTCAGTTCACGAATTGGGCTCACCGTACATCCACACCAACTCGGCCCAAATCATCGCTCGCTCACAGTGGGGAACGAAGGTGGAGGGAAAGACCCGTCGCCAAGGATTTCATTTTTTTTTTGAGCTCGAGCTGCTTGTAAGTGGGCCGATCATTGCTCTCGGCAGTTGATTATGATTCTATACAGGGGTCGTATTAAATTCCGTCAGCCCAGCCATCTCATCCATCCATGCATCCATCCATCGATCCAACGATCCATCCAGAGGGCAAGTGACCGAACCTACCTCCTCAAAGTTGCCAACCGACGGCGCGCAGGCGTTCCTCCAAACGACCCGACTCGATTCCATCGAGGGACTGAGGCGAATCCAGCGACCCTGCCCTCCGCCATCTAAACCGGCGTCATTCCGGTCCGCCACCACCACGGCCAGCAGAATTCGCGCGCCCCACTCATGCTACCGCAGACTCGTCACATGGTGCTCATATTACTCGGTTCTCTCATTTACGATTATCCGACTGCAGTAGGTGGGATCCGGACCACGGTAGCACCCGGAACTGTACCGAGGCGCTGGCAGGCGGTGGAAAAATGGCGGGGAGGTGGGCAGGCGCGGGCTCCGGGCGGGTGGGGTGGGGTGGGGTGTCCGACGGACGGGGATGTGTTTATTTCGGGATAGCGTCCTCGGGAACTCAGACGGTTCGAACTTTGAAAATGTTAAGAGCACCAGACGCGCCGATGCGCCTACGGGGCTAGTACTGCGAGCCTGCGATGGAGTCACGTGTGGGAGAGGTCGATCATGCGCCATCAGCGCTGGGATCGGAAAAGCTTCGATGAGATCAGCTCGGAATTCAAGTTGAGAACGAGCTGCTGCTCTCCTGTGCATGTCATGGCAGCAAAGTGGAAAGTGAGGATATGTATGGAGTTGCCGCTTTTGGCCCTCGGGACAGATCGAGAGATAGCATTTCTGCGTCTCCTGCAATTCTCAAGATAAGAGTCTTTGCCTCAAGTTGAACGGATAATACTACTGTTGCTGTGGTTGTGAAATGCATGACGATGATGTAGGTAGGCGTGAAAGACAATGTGCAGACATGAATTTCTCTTCCCTGCCCGCTGCTCAATTTGGTGGTTTGTCACTCGGTATGGAAGATATTATCACGCTCTTTGCTTGGTGCTCCTCATGTTCCTTGCAGTTCTTTTGATCACTTTTGACCGCTTCAAATCTACATGTGCGTACTAGCTCTATATGATGGTGGAAGATTCATGCGACAATCACGCATATAAAGTTATTATAAAATTCAATAATATGCATCGATCCCAATGCTTCTTTCTGTCTTTCCATGTAATTCACATCTGAACACCATGAGTTAACATATTGACTTCCGAGAAGAAATTGGTTTCCATGTAATTCTACTCATGCAGCATCATTGGTGGGATATTAGCTTTCCTATTTCTCTTCAAGGGATCCGATATCTCCTTTCCTCGATGAAGCATCTTCTTATTCACTTATTATTTCAACCATCTACCCCAATTCTTATATCTCTGTCTCCCCTGCTCGTTTCTCATTCGAACAGCTGTTTCTTAACTTTTTTATATTCGAGACGGCATCAGTTTCCGCAGGCGTATACTTCATGCAAGATCGGTGTTTCGAAATAATCTGTCCATAGGTCAGTTCAATAAATGTGATCACTTCCTTTTACTTGAAGATGCCTCCTCTATTCCATCTCAAAAGAACTCGCAATGGTTTGGTGTCTTTCCCCGACAATCAGTGTCCCATATATGTATGCAGCCCTTTATACGCCCATGATATACACGCACAAACTCTCCATCATCAAAATGTGAATCAACTTTAGTTAGATCCTTTCGACTTGTTCCTACCTTTTTGATCACTTGGCTGTTGAA